CAAACATTTTTCGATATTCTTCTACTATGTCAGCTGAATTTTTCTTAGACTCTTGGAAAGATTCCATATTCACCTCATACTCTTGTTGAGGGTCAAGATTTTTCGGCTGTTCCAAATCTTCATCTAGTTCTGTGAAGTTAGTTTCCAAAGGAGGGACTTGTTCGTTTCCTTCAGGCTCTTCTAGCTTTTGTTGCTGAACTATTTCATCCATGTCTGGTTGTATCTGAACTTCTTCCTGTGGAGTTTCTTGTACCTCATCTGCTGGCATATCATATATTCCGAGACCGTTTTCAACAAGTTCCCTATCTAAGTCATCCGGACTCATAAACCTTTCTTCTTTCGTTCCGTCTCTATTTTTTACGCGTTTCATGAAGAGAGTTGAATTATCATTTAGCTCTGACACCAAATATTTCGGAGTAAATTCATCCATGTCATTTGGATGATATGCTATTAAATCATATCCCTTAGCGAGCTTGTATTTTCCAGGTTTGAAATTATATCCCATTTGGTGCTGAGCCATAAAGCTAAATAGGTTCGGGTCAGTATTTCCTTCCTTGAACTTTCTAATAGCTTCTTTATATCTGTCACTAAAGTCAAGAGTATCTGGGTAACCATAATCTTCCTTAAGCATTTTTAAGAATTCTTGGTTTCCTTGTTCTCTACTTCTTTTATGTCCTTGCTCTGTTTGTGGTTGTTGTTGTGCAGGGTTTTGAACTGTTGGTTGCTGTGCTGGTTGTGGAGGTGGTTGTTGTGCTGGTTGTTGTTGTTGTGCTGGATTTTGAACTGTTGGTTGTTGTGTTGGTTGTTGTTGTTGTTGTGCTGGATTTTGAACTGTTGGTTGTTGTGTTGGTTTTGGTGCATGCCTGTGTCTGTGTCCATGTGACGATGTAAATGTTTTAGGTAGTCCTGGTGCAGGTGCTTCTCTTGGAGGGTTTGGTGGTATATAAGTTCCACCAGCTGGCACATATATTCCATCTGCAGCATAATGTCCTACCTGACTTTTCGTTTTTAAGAAAGCATTTACTAGGTCTGTTTTGGTCTGTTGTAACTCTTTTTCTTGACTTTTCACAACAGTTGCTCTAACGGCGTCATAGGCACTTTGAACTGCCTGTCTCGTTGCTGTATCTGTTATTTTCGTCATATTTTGTGCTACTTCTCTTAACTCTTTGTCGAAACCTTCAGACTTCAGTTTCTTTCCAGATGAGAAGTCGTTCACTAGTTTCACCTTACTATGAAGAGCTTCGAAGGCGTTCTTAAAGTCAGCATTTGTTAAAGCTTCATTTGAACTGTCTTCATCCGCTTGTATTTTTGTCCTTATTGACCCTATAAGCTGGGCTGCTTTAGCGTTGGCTTGGGCATCTAACCAGTCATTATTAGCTTTTATATATTCTGCGCTTTTCATTGCCTTTTGCATGGCTGCGTCGTTATTTTTACTTTCTTGTGCTAAGTTTTCATACTGTACGGTTTGGTTTTGCAACTGTAAAAGTTTTTCTGCCTTTACATTTGCTTCAACTTCTTTTTTATACTCATCGCTATCCATATATGTCTTCAGGGCTTTTTTTTTATCTCTTCATCTTTCAGTACTTTATATTGAGTAGTATGGTTTTTCAAATTTATAACATCTTGTTCCATTTTTGCTACTTCTGCTGCTTTTTCTGACACTTTTTTCGCATATTCCTCTGTACTTAGTTCTTTCAGTTGTTCTTCTTTCTTCTTTTTCTCTACGTTTAACTCATTGAGTTTCTTTGTGTGTCTGTCATATTCTAGTTTCTTTTCGTTTTCACTTATTTGTTTCTGTATGTCTATGTTTGACTTTTTGACATCTGCTATTTGATTTTTGAGTGAACTCAAATTCATTTGACTTTGAGGGTTATATGCTGTTCCGTCTGCAGCTCCACCATAGCCTGCCATTTTCGCTAAAAGTGCCGCTCTTAAACCTCCACTCTGTGCACCAATAACTCGGTTTAAAAGCATAGGGTTGCTTGACATTTGTTGCAACATAGTGGGGTCATTCATCATTTGTTGTTGCAACTGTTGTTGTGGTGTCAGTTTTACTATTGGATGTTTCAATGCTCGCTTCCTCTTACGTATATTCTTACGTAGCTTACGTGGCATTTTAAGTGAAGTTAAAAAGCGGTTTTTGACAGATGTTTATATGACACTTTTTGTTCAGCTCAAAAAACTGCTCGGTCAAAGTGTTGTCAGTTTTGTAAAATAACCGTCCTATCTCATTCTATAAGGGGGAAAGGCTTCTCAAAGTATACTTCCTTGGAACGCCTGTAACTTTTCCTGTAGCGACGATAGACCCTTACTTGTCCGGACAAAGTTATACTATTTTGAGTGCTCTACAAAAAAGTCAATGGCTGGTCGGCTGGGGTTCGGTCCTCCTCTTGGGTCTTGGGAAAAATTTCTTATGGGCTAGAGGGCGCAACGCGCCTGGAAGCCCTCCGAATAAAAAACTTCATTTATACTAAACATCTTCAGGGCTAGAGGGCGCAACGCGCCTGGAAGCCCCACTACCTTTTTTTTTAGAAATAATTATTTTCATGAATAAAAGATTCACCACCATAATGAAATAAAAAATAAAAAAATTTTTAAAAAATAAACTTTAAAAATTCATGTCTTACGAAAAATTAAAACTTAGTTATGTTTATTATTTTATTTTTTTATTTTGTATGAAATGAGCGTCAAAACTAACGACGTGAAAACATTAGGATTCACAAACGAGGAAATAAAGGATATATTATTTAAGAAACTAATGATTATTTGAATTTATGAAATCAATTATTTGATTCATTCTTTCTTCAATCTCTTCTATTCTTTTTGTTAAATCATCAATTTTCATTAATGAGGTGATTCTTGATTGAGGAATAGATTTCAAACTAACCACCCCCTTTATTTTTGAAATTTTGAATCCATCAACTTTAAACATTTTATTCAATTTACATGTTGTCAATTCTTCAAATAATTTTTTATTATTAGCATAATAGTCATTAAATTCTTCAACAGATGAAAAAATTTTTATTTCAGTAATTGGTTTAACAACGTTTATTTTTTGTTGAACATTTTCACCTTCATTTATTTCTTCCTCCTCTGTTTCATTTATTTTTAAAATCGGTTTCATTTATCATTAAATAAAAATTAGAATATAAGTGATGAAATATATTTTTTTAATTAATATTAAATCAGAAATGGCGGCAGGATTCTTTAAAAAATTATGGGATGGAATTAAGAAAGCTGTGGGTTGGGTTCATAAAAAGATTATTAAACCCATTGCAGTTAGTATACATATCATGGGTACGGCGGCACTGCGTTCCACCTTACCCATTATATGTGAATTTGACACTTTACGAAACCGTTAACGTATATTTTACAACACAAACAACAACACTAACTTAACCTTAAATATTTACAAAGCCACCAACCACTTCACCTCACTAACGTTTTCACCAACCACTTCACCTCACTAATGTTTTCACAAACGACTTCACTAATGTAAAAAAATAAACGTTCTCACTTACAAAAGTATTGCAACTCCTCCCATTGCTGTGCTTCATATAACAGCTCATAATCTTCTGACTCACTTTCTTCTTCATATAGGTCAAAATCACTGTCATAGTTTATACCTGTAAGTTTTGACAAAGCTAATGAAACACGCTTACCGTTTGTATCGTATGCTTGTATAAACTTTCCATTATGCTTGTAGTCATAAACGCTCAAACTAACTTTACCCTTTCTCCCTCGTATCTGATAGAATGTATTTTCACGAGGAACGAAGAACAAATTCTTGAACTCATGACCGTTGTAGTTTGTTATCTCAATAGTTTTCGTCATTTATATAAAAATAAAATAAAAATAAAATAAAAATAAAATAAAAAATTAATGATATCACCACTCCCACACGTATGAAAACATAGCACAAAAATAAATTTAGGTGAAGTGGTGAGATCTCACCTCTTTTTTCACCTGTTTTTTCACCCTGTTGAATTCACCTGTTTTTTCACCCTGTTTTTTCACCTCTTTTTCACCCTGTTGAATTCATTGCTTTATAACTCTCTTCCTTGGTTTCTTTTTAGTTGCTTTCTTCACGTCTGTCTCCAACTTGACTGTCTTTCTTCTTCGGCCGTAATGATACCAGTTACTTCCACCAGTCAATGGGTCAAATGGTCTTTCGTAAGGGTTTCCATACATTCCATAGGGACCATACGGAAGAACTACTGGTGGAGAAGAAACATTTTCTTTAGTTCCATCGACTCTATTTAAATGCATTGTTTCACCTTTCATCTGGTCATTAAAGTCTTTTGCGTGTTTTGCAAACTCATCGTCCTTTCCTAAAGCATTTTCTGACTCAGTCGCAACCAAATTGGATGCTTTATTTATGAGCCCTATTTTATTTAATCTTAACTTCTTTGCAACCCAGCCTCCAATCTTCCCTTTATTTGCATCTAATGTCTTCGAAACCCTTCCTCCACTCATTTTATTTACTGCGTCATAAGCTCCAAGTGCTTTTGCTCCAAATGCTAATGCTTTTGTTCCCATTGCGCCTAAAGCTGCCCAAGCTACCATTTACACCATATTAAAATCATCTCTCTTCAATATTATCTCATAAAAGTTCTCGTTACTGGAGAAAGTCAATGAAACATAACGTTCTCACGGGCTTCGCCCTCACCGCTTTGCGGTCTATCTAACTTATTTCTTATATCATCTATACGCTTCAAAATGTCTGAACAATTGCTAACATCTTCTACAACAGTTATTTCATCATGAATGACCTTCAAGAACAAGCTCATTTAATATGCTATTAAAATCATCTCAATAATGAGTCCATCCTTTCCATCTTTAGGTAGCACAACATCTTTCATTGAAGAAGGTTCGACAAGTCTTATGTTAAACTTACTGACAAAGTTTGTTATACTATAATGCTTTGGCGGCGAATACATATAGTTTGAAAGACATAATATAGATTCTTCAGCAAATTCACTTATACTGGATTTTATAACAATGTTCTCACGAGACCAAATACCACCAATTGACAATCTTGTAAGCAATCCTGCTGAACCTTCTACTGTAAACGTCGATGGTAACATTCCACGAAGGTCATCTATTGACATCGTTGAGTCACTGTATTTAAATATTTTCTTAAAGCAATCGTCATTATCTAACCATGCAATAGCTTTGAAGTTTTCATTCGAATATACATCTGCTTCATTAAATGTAAAACCTGACTTCTTTGCAGAGATGACTTTAAAATCTATTGCATTTGTTTCAAAATTATATGCTATGGTAACTTCTGAAGGTAATGGATGCCCTTCCGCAGTCAGTTGTTCTCTCACTACCGTTTGAAGCTTTGTGTTAAAAACTTTCATGTCATCTCCTGTGTCTAGGTTCACATACACAGCAACAGGGAAACTATCTTGCTTCTTTGTTTCATCATTATATCTACTACTAACATTAAAGTTCTTCAATAATATTGTTCTTCCTGCTGGAATACTTCGAACCTGTCTGATTTCAATAGCTTTCTCACCTCCTACATACTCTACCCAGTGTCTTGGATATTCATAAGTATACTGACTTTCTTGAATTTTGGTTGGTTTCATCATAACGTGTTCATAGTATATCTTTATACTCTTGTCAGTTAGACTCGGTGCTATGTTCTGAATATTTCTGACTTGCATTTTTAATGGAGATAAAATGAAGCATTTAATACATGATGTAGATGAAGACATGAATGAAACTACAGACAAACTTAACTCTTCTCTTATTCTTCCTTTCAGCAAAGATTATGAATTCTGTTCAAATGGTGTGTATTTCTATTGTGGAAAGATGGGTTCAGGTAAGACATTTAACCTCATTCGTCATATACTCATAACAGAGCGTTTAGGAAACGACTCTTACTATGACCAAATCATTATATCAGCAACTTCAGACTCTATGGACTCAACAGCGAAAACATTTATGTCAAAAGTTCAAGCCTCTGTCGTTAAAGTTCCAGACAGTGAACTCATTGAATTTCTTCAACGTTACATTCGACGTAAGAGGAAATATTATGCCATCGTAGAGTTCATACAGTCAGGAATGCAAAAGACTTCTGAGGAGATGGAAAGAATTATTGACAAACACCACTTACGTCAGTACTCAGGAGTTTACGATATGAAACGACTTACAAACTACATTCTATCAAAACTTTCAAAATACCCCTTCAAAAAGTATCCTTCAAACACTCTGCTCGTTTGTGACGACTTCGCCGGAAAAGGTTTAGTGTCAAAACCAGACTCACCATTAGCTAACATCATAACTAAAGTCAGACATTACCATTTAACTGTAGCAATACTTATGCAAACATGGCGTTTTCTTGCTTTAAACATAAAACGTCTCATAACTGACTTCGTTATCTTTCAAGGTTTCTCACGTTATGATATTGAACTCATTTGGAAACAGTCAGGTATAACATTACCTTTTGAAGAAATTTGGGAAGCATATAAGTCTCTCATCTCTCCTCGTTCATACCTTGAGATTCATATCATGACTAATACCATTAAAGTCAAAAATATTCCATGGGAACGACCAACATTGTTTTAAAGTTTAACCTTCAATTGACTGATGGTAAACAAATTCCATGCATCTCTGTCGCCATTTCTGTTAATATTTTTGCTGTCATTCATATCATCCACTTCCCCATCCGTTAGCTTTTGAGGATATGCGTTAGAATAGCTGTTCTTAAATGAAGGCTTTTCACCTTTGAGAGCATAAACTCTATAACTTTCTGCATACTTTATGTTTGAACCTCCTGAGCCATCATTGACATAAATTTTTATAGGCTTCCACCCTTTGTTCATATTCCTGCTTCTTCCCTTAGCTCTTTTGTTCAGTAGTTCTACATCTTTATACACAGCTCCTGTCTCAGTGAATTCAACAATATTTTCATTCGTTAGCTTTACATTCAAACCCTTGTCGAGTATATTGTTCATTTCATACATATAAAAGGTTTTTATTCTATATGAAATGAGAAGCAAATCCATCTTAGCTGGTGCCGTTAATGTTCCAATTGAACCAACATCAAATGTTGACTCACGAACGACAAACAATATTGTCATAAAGAACTATAGTTCAGAGTGTTTGAAAGAAAAAGAACCAGATCTTAAGTCGGTGAATTTAAACTCAGCTTCAAAACGCTAACGCTACATCAGATGTTAAGTTAGAGTATCCACCACTGGACCAAATTCTTTCAAGAGAAGCCAACGACAACCCTTACACAAATGTTCAAACAAATCCTTCAGATAACGTAGACCATTACCTTCTTCAGTTATACCAAACAATTTTACTCAAAGACGATAAGAAGCTTTTGACAAATCTTATAAGTAAGAACCAAATAATTCTAACAAAGGAGGACCTTGAAAATGTTATCTCACGAATAACAGGGAAACAATGTGTCATTGACTATCTCGACCCTGAAATCGAATGCTGTGGTCAAACTCCACTATTCATGAAAATAGGTAACATCCGCATCATTGAAACACCAGGAACTACAGGAGTTGAGTTTAAGTATAAATATTCGAACGAGTATACAAAACTATCTACTGATATAAGCTTTGTTTGAAATATGTTTTAGTAAATTAAAGCAGTCAGGAGGGCTCTTTGAGCCCATCTTGGCGCTTTGCGCCGTCAGTCAAAAAATTTCAAGTTAGCAATTTGTAATATCTATCCAAAACTTCTTCAACAGTATCGAACTCATCTTCATAATGCAAACCTAATCTTATTGACTTGGTGCAGTTTTCACTAACACAATATTTTTCTGTTCTCTTGACTGACATAACTAACTCATTTGTTTCATCAAACAGCAACAACCAAAGTTCATGACCTAATACATAACATTCATACTTTATATTTTTAGCTCTGAGTTCTCTTGTAAGCTGTTGCATTTAATATTTTCTAAAAAGTCAACTTCAACAGTCATTCGCACTGGTGCCTTCAGTTCTACAGGCTCTCCTTGAAAGTCAACAAGTCTGAATTGCATGTCTTTCAAATTATGAGGACTAATGCGAACCCATTTACCTAAATGAGTTGCTATGACAGGAACGTTTGGAATGAACATTGAATTGACTGCATAACAGAAGGATTTATATTCTACTGAACCTTTACTATTAACTCCTGAAATACCTGTGACATTAGCTATTTTTGACTCAATGTACAAACAATTACCATAACATACGTATGGAACAGATTTCATCTCAATCGTTTTGTCAACACTTTTCAAAGGAAATGTCATATGGTATGCACCCAAAAGAAGTTGTACTCTATGACTCATTCTTTATCTTAAACTCCTTCGCATAACTGAACTTCAAAACTCCTGCAATAAGTTTAACATTCATTAAGTTTTCTTCGTTATCCTTGTTTATTGTAGTATTTATGAGAGCATTTAACACTCCAGCTAATGTTTCCATCTTATATTCTACATTATTGTGAAATCTTATTTCGTGCTTCTTTCCATCTATTTCAAGCTCCATGAAATCTGTTTCATCAGTTATAACGAATGAAGCGATAGTATTGAAGTCAACCATTCTGAATGCAAGCGCCTCATTCTGTAGACCTAAGTTTGTTTGTAGCTTTACTGTCCCGTATTCGTTTGGGTCTGTACTTTGCAAATAGAACAACATTTTATTCTCATTAAAATATGAGTATAGCTGCATATGCGTATGAAGCTGACAGAGCTAAACGTTTATATTTTGGTCAATACTCTCTCACACTTACTGACAAATATATTGTTATCTGATGGAAATACCGAGAAATACATAACATGGAAGGACTATGAAAAGTTTGACCCTATTTTAACTCCATGTACTATGCCATTCATAAAGGGTGAAGTTGTCATGAAGAACGACACAACAGTATATAAGTCTGTTCATGAAGCGTTAGAATATATGTTGAATTATAATCCCGAAAGATTTGACCCAAGCACTACCATGTGCAATGCCTTTATTAAGGATGGTGAAATCGTAAGAGTTCCGAATTCAACGGTTTACACAGCTGTTCAAAACAGTTTACAAAACATTTTAGCGAATATCTTTAATTCAGAAACTACAGAAATAAAATTACCATATATAACAGATGCTAAAGAAATTAAATCAAAAACGACAACATTATTTACGTCACTTAATGATTTAATGACTTATATCATTAATATTCCTGCACCAACTACAGCATTTGATCCAAACTCGACGGTTTGCAGTGTACCTTTCATAAATGACAGTTCATTAATTACTTTAAGGGATTCGACAGTAAATGAATCATTAAAGGCGTCATTAATGAAAATCATTGATTTTAATTCATTCACGAATACATATAATTCATTCATTAATGTTTCATATGCTTCTAAAGAAGGTGAGCCAAAAACTATCGATAAAGCGGTGTATGAAATAAAAGCATCAACGACGAAATTGAATTCGTTAACTTTTGACGGTGATAGTTTCGTTAATGACATAACATCGGGGAAAACAATTTTAACGAAAGAATACTTAAAATCTCATGTTAGTGAGTTCGTTGAAATTGAAAAAGAAGGTGGAATTAAGTTCGATCCACTGAATTTCATTTTCAGCTTAGCGAATGCGGGTGTTATTTTCGCTGAATGGACAACTATACAGAGTGAAATAAATGCAATATGGACGTTTTTGGGGTCAAAAGCGGGAATGGGTGAGCTTGTAAATGCTGCAAGAACATTAGGTGAAACAGGAAATTTTGTAGATGGTTTTAAAAGACTTGTTTCAAATGTTTTAACAAACACAAAGAAATTATTTAGATATACCATACATAACGGTCAGATTTTCGAACAGTAGCAACAAACCCTCCGGTTATGGCTGCGTTGATGATGGTTAGAGATATAAAACCACGTAACGACGGGAACGAAGAACATGAACAACAGGATACTGGTCGGGTTATTCGAGACATTAAAAACGTGTATCCTGAAGTTATTGATTTATTTAGAGGAGTTAATGATTCAATTTCAAAACATTCTATAACCCTCGATGAAGAGAATAAATTAACAGATTATATATTCGTCATTATTGCAGAATTAATGAAGAGAATAAATGAAAAAGGAATTGGTGATATCATTAATGTCAGCGATGTAATGATGAAAAGAAATTTTGACTCATTATTTACAAAACCGAAAACAGAATATAGTCTTTATGACGTAATTACCGAATTAATGAAAAAGATTAATGATAATAAGAGTTCTGGCGGAAGAGTTGAATTAGAAGTGAATGATGTTAATGAGAAATTAGCCGAAAAAGCAGACAAAAATGAGCTTTTAGCTCTGAGTGATAAAGTCAAGAACCACGTTCATTATATAACTTCAGACGAACAAATTATAACGGACTACCATGGATATTTAACACGAAGTGATGAAGTGAAGACGGAAGACCCCAATGAAAGAAGATATAAATACATTCGTGCTAAAGGTTATGACATAAGCTGTACTGTACAGTATGACACGGGTAAAGCACCAGAAGCATTTAGTTATAACGATGAAATTTATGCCTCTACTTTCTCTGTTAACGGTGTATTAGTTGAACCAAGATTTACATTGAGAGTTAAGGCAAAAATAACGTTTGAAGATGCTATTAAAAGTAAAGCTGACAAAGTTGAACTTGAAGCAATGAACAAAGTTTTGAAATCTCATAAACACAACATCTCCGATATAAATGAACTTCAAGCTACATTAGACAGTAAAGCCGACAAGAACCATACACATAAATCCTTCACTACTGTTAGAGCAGACGACATAATATTGAACTATACCCTTGGTTCAAGTGCACCTTTAGAGAATCCAAGTACAAGCGTAAAAGATACACTAAACTCCTTAAATAACAAATGTATGAACATTGAAGGTCATGTCAGAAACTTTGAAACACATGAACTACCAGCAATGTTAGATAAAAAAGCAGATAAAGAACATACACATAACTCCTTCTCAACTGTTGCTATAGAAAGTATTGAAGGAACGGTTGGCGGAACTGGTGGGGATGCATTATATTATAAACCTCCTAACTTTCCACAAGGTTTAACATCGAATGAAAACATAACAACGAAGAAAGAAATTAGCTGTAAAAATGTTTATGTCATGGACGATGAAAATAATGTTAAATTCACTGCTCAAGATTTATATGATAATAAAGCTGACAAGAACCATACACATAAATCTTTCACTACTGTTAGAGCAGACGACATAATATTGAACTATACCCTTGGTTCAAGTGCACCATTAGAAAATCCAAGTACAAGCGTAAAAGATACTCTTAACAATTTAGATAACAGTTGCAGGAATATCGAAGATCATGCCAGAAACTTTGAAGCATATGAACTACCAACAATGTTAGATAAGAAAGCAGACAAAACAGAGCTTCAAACATTAAAGACAGAAATACTTCAAACATTATATCTTGTTGGTTCTATTTATACGTCAATGAACTCAACAAATCCAGAAACAGTTCTGGGTTTTGGTACGTGGAAGCAGATTGTAGATAAATTCTTATACTGTGCTAGATATTCAAAGCAAACAGGAGGTTCGAAGAAAATTAAAGAAGCAAACCTTCCACCGCACACTCATACAGGAACTACAAACACAACAGGTAATCATTCACATTCAATAACAAAAAGAGGTTATACAAATCTTGCAGCAGGTTCGGATAGACAGGGAATGAATAGATATGATATTTCAAGTGACCCAGTAGATTCAAGCACAGGTATTTTCTGTGGAACCACAGGTAATCATTCACACACTTTCACAACAAATCCAACAGGCTCGGGTGCAGATTATATGCCACCATTTGTGACTGTATTCGCATGGTACCGCGTTCAATGAACGCGCTTGAGCCTAGAATAAAATCTTTAACTTTACATAAATGAGCTTGAAAGAAGTATTCGAACAACATCCATGGAGGTCATTTAAGAAGTTCAATGAAGCAGCAAAAAGTTGGGGATTTACTAACAGAGCTGAAGTGAAAAAGTTCTTTGACAAAAATGTTGTACATCAAACAAAAATAAACCCTTACGACTACTTTTTACCAATTTACTCCAACACTCCTGACGCATACCAATTTGACACTCTCATTCAAAGCAGAAAAGGAGGACATAAACCATTCCTCATCTTCATTAATGTTAACACTCGTAAAGCATATGCATATCCAATGAAAAATAAAGGAACTCGTGAAGTGTTAAGAGTTTTACAAAAGTTTGTAGCAGAACATAGCCCAAGTACTTTAACATCAGACCAAGACAGTGCATACCTCAGCAACGAAATCACAGAATTTCTCATTAAGCATAACATAACTCACTACACTACTGAAGACCATAACCATAATATTTTAGGTATCATAAACCGCTTCATAAGGACGCTCAGAGATTTAAACTAAGAGCGAGACTTTACCGAAGAAACAATGAAACATTTCCTCGAAGTATATAATTCCTCAACACATTCTACAACAGGACATACACCAAATTCAATGACACAACAACAAGAAGAAAAGTATATACAAAAGAAACGAAGCCAAACACAAAATATCAGAAATTCAACACAATTTACCCTCATTCCTGGTACAAAAGTTCGTGTAGTTCTTGACGACAAACCGTTGACAAAGAAACGTTTAAGGTTAAGTAGAAACTATTATATCGTAGACTCTACGCAAGGTAATGGATATCTTATAAAAGCTGCCGACGACTCTATTGCGTTTTACCCTCGTCACAAATTAGTCGAAAGTAGTAATGGCAAACTTGCTGAAACCATTGACGAAGCAAAGCGAGGAGTGGTTATTGAAATACTTGGCTATAACATAAACGATGACACTTATAAAGTAAGATATGAAGGAGGCGTTGAAGATGTTATACCATCTAAGAACTTGAGAGAGTCGAAGCCAACACATCTGGGACCATTAGAGCTGGAGTACTGGAAAGACAAAAATATGCCAGAAAGAATAAGAAAATTCTTCTAAACTTTTTCGTTGGATGTAAATCAGACATGAACGAGAACAGTCATGATATCATTAATGATACCATATATTTTAACATAAATGAACAAAAATAATGTTTAGGTGAAGAGGTGAGATTTCACCTCCTTTTTCACCTCCTTTTTCACCGCTTAGCGGCTCAGATTGCTTTTGCTTTCTCGTGAATTTTCATGAATTTCCTTAAGATAGAAAAAATAAAGTTAGTTTTATTTTTATTTATTTTTTTATCTTGTATAAAAGATATGATTTCAACAATAGGTTCTACAACAATTCAAACAACTACAGCACCAAACTCTTTAGTCATGAATCCTACATCTATGTTAGTAGAGATGAAAAGCTTCATTCCTTCTTCATATACTTTTGAGACAGAAATACAAAGAATTAAGCAAGAACTTTTAACAAGTAATTTAGACTGTAGTGCGAAAGATGAAACAAATGAACAGTATCTTTATGACATGCAGGACATTATTGACCATTTACCCAAATTGCCTGAAATCCAACAACAAAAGCTCACTATTCATGAATTCGATGAAATAGAAGTGAAACCAACTGACTCAGTAGAAATAAAGAAGTTCATACGTAAGTAAACTATGAGTTTCTAGGATATCATTGCAACCATAAAGTTATGGACAAAGATTGCGACATGGTATATAAGAACATCTCTGACATATATAAATCTGGGAGTTTAAGACATACGACAACTTTGTTTCATTAGTTGCTGAATGTGTATGGCAGATAAGAGATAAAGATAAAAGATGTAAAATATGGAATGGACAAATAAAACCAACAACTTTTGAGTTAAAGAAAACCATTGACGCCTTAGTTGTTCTAGCAGGTCAAATTTCAATGTATAACGCAAAAATGAATCCGCAATGTTCAAAATGTAAAGCAGCAATGAGGAAATATAACTACTCCGTCAAAGAGATAGAACGTATGAGAAACGACTATGCTGACTTAAAGAAAGAAGCAGAAAAGCCAGCAGAAGATAAAATGGACATGTTAGCATTTCTGAACAAAAACTATCCAACAGCTGACGATTTCCTATTATCTGATGTCAAGAAGAAGTATAAAGAAACTTTCGGTATCGTTAAAACTTTTGATATCCTTCGTGAAGAAATAGAAGCTACAAAACTGTTTAGAATTTCAAATATACATCGTACAATTCATGTAAAACGCTTATAAAATAACTGGGGTGAAAAATTAGGTGAGAAAACGGGTGAAATCTCACCTCTTCACCTAAAATATATTTTTATTGAATTCAGCAACAAAAATCATGAATTTTCATTAAGATAAAAAAATAACGCTAATTTTTTTCTAAGAAAAATTTTTATTTTGTATGTAAAGACAGTAATGTCAAACATTGAGTTTGAAACAGTTAGAAAGATAGACAATGACACCAAAGTGGTTAGAATAGGTGATTTAAACGTAAGATACTCAAAGAAATACAACAAATATTCTTTGTCAGACATTATATCTCCATCTGGAAAGAAAACAAACGACTGGGTTAGAAATGCTTCAACTCAGAAAATTTTGACAAGAAATCCTGAGCTTATGATATCAGTAGCATTTCATGGAACAAGAGCATATCTTATAGACAAAAGTCTTATACCAATAGTTTTGTTATGGTTAGACCAGTTGTTGGATATAACTTCATAACTTATGGTTCATTCGACTCAGAACGTTGCAGTGAAGGCTTACTTTTATATCGTTCAGAAACCGAAGGACTTCAATACAAAAAGATATAAGATAGGAAGAACATATAATATAACTCAAAGATATGACAGTACAGTCAATAGAGTCAAGGTTGTGTTCGTTAATGATATGAGAGCTGCAGAAACAGAACTGCTTGAAAAGTTTGAGAAAATGTATGGTGCTCCCATGAAAGGTAAAGAAACGTTTGAAGTAGATGAGATAGATAAAGCTATAAAATTATTTGACGAAGTTGCTGAAAAATACATGTAAAGCGTTTATTTTTGGTCTTTTGTGAAAGTCAGAAAATAAAGTTAGTTTTTTATAAAATATTTTTTTATCCGGAATATAAAGACAGTAATGTCAATATCAGAGAACACAACAACTGCTATCGTTCATGAAGCCATAAATGAAGAATACGAATACATACAATATAACAAACAGTTACGTCTCATTCGTTCGGTCAAAGATGACATGTACCAAATGCAAAGTATAATGAATGCTCTTCGTTCTACAAAGCAAGCATATCATTGGTTTGAAAACCAACAGACAAAAGAACTTTTAGAAGAATTTCCTCATATGATTGCTTCCCTCGGAAAACCGAGAGAAGAGATTCCATTCGAAAATCGCAAGAATTTGGCACCTGGTTTGAAAGGTTATTATGTTCATAGACTTTTAGTAAATGCTGTAGCAATGTGGGCTTCACCTCGTTATGCTTGTTATATTTTCATGATGTTAGATGAACTATATAAAGCAGAACGTGAAGATATGGAAAAGAAACTTCAAGCAAAAGATGAAGTCATTGAATCCAAAGACAAAAGCATACAGAAAAGAATACCACGTTCGGTACCAAAAGGAAAGGAAAAGAGTTATAAGTATATGATTTACGCTAAAGAGTTGGAGAAAGAAGAAGATAGAGATATGGTTATGTTGCATTTAGTGAGAAGAAACAACAAGAGCTTTTATGACCTCGCTAAGATTTACAAATCTGACAGAAACTGGTTCTATCGTGAAAACTTACCGATTTCAATGACACCGAATGAAGATGTGAAACAAATAGTTCAAGACACACTTCCTCAAACACACTATAACATCAAAGGTTGCACAATACTTACATTCAAAGAAGACTTAACATTACTGAAGGAAAAAATAACAGAATATTTCGACAACTTCAAAGAGGAAGACTAACCAAAAAATATATTTTTGCTTAAATAGCTTCAGGGTCAATTTCTTCAACCATTTCACTTCCTTCGTCAATGTCAATTGAAGCTTCTTCAACTTTTGGTAAGAACTTTTGTATGACATCTTTGTTCGTTATTGTCTTCAGAGATGAAGGATAATATTTCACATTTGTTTCACCCTTCTTATATTCTTTCTGTTCGGAAAGATTTAAAGCAATACTGAAGAAGTCAATGTTAGAGTTCTTTATGACAGTATAATGAGTATCTTTGACATTCACGAAGAAACCCTTTTGTTTCAAAACTACTGCTAACTCTTGTGAAGTATAACGTTTGCGGTCAATGACGATAGCTAATGGTCTGACATACTGACCAAACTTAGATTCTTTCACAAACTTCTTGTTAAAGATAACATTGACGTTTGAAGCACTATTGAACTCATTCTTGATGGCAGTAGCGAGAGCATTGTATGAAAAGAACTTGCAATCTTGCATGTGTTTCATTAAAATAAAAATATTAAATTATTTTGAAAAATAACTTAAAAAATCTAATCTAATTTTTTCAAAAAATATTTTTTTATTTCCTACTAAAGATGTATCGGAAGTTGTCTAAGTTAGAACACTCGGAAATAAAACAACTTCTTACAGAAGCTAACATAGATGTTGCAAAACATTACGCAACAAACAAAAAAGCACTCGCTGACATCCTCAATGACTACAATGGTGAAATAACTTATGATAGAATTCATGAGTTCATAAAGCCGCAACGCGGCGAGGACGAAGTCCATGCAAGAGCATTTCCTTTAAATGACGTTGCTATTGACTTATATCATAGACGTTCAGTACCTCATGAAGTAAGAAGAGAAATGTTTGACATAACAAATGCAAACGTTGGTGAAACAAGAAGAAGAGACGACACACTGAAACAACAGAGAAGAGAGATGTTTAAAAGTGCTATAGAACAAGTTCGCAAAGCTAACGATGTCATTCGTTCCATTGACGACAAACCAAAAGAAGGTGAGAGATGGTTAAAGAAAGATGAAGAGAATAGGAAGAGAAATGTGAAGTCAGGCAATAGACTCATTGACTTTAACATCGAAGCTTTAGATGAACCAAACAGAGACTACTTACACAAACATTTCGGTAAGGTTTTCATGAGACTCTTAGAGAAGATTAAAATAAACTCCCAACAAAGATGGATGGTATGTTATAAACTTGGTGGAAAGTATGAATGTTCTACGTTAAACCTCAATAATATTGGAACATTACTACATCAGCTCTTGAAGGAGAACTTTATATCAGAGATAGAAGCAAATGCTGCAGGTATTGTTGAAATGCACTATGACTTCTTCTTGACAAACATAAAGAATCTTACTGAAATAAAGATGTATGATTTAACAGAATATGAAGGCTTAACGATGTCAGATGTAAAGAAAGGCAAACCAAAAAAAGAGACCATATAGAGATGAAAGCACACTGACAAATGACCAGAAAGCCATTTTGGAAGCTCTTAAGCAAACAGGAAAACCCAGCACTTATAGAAAGCTTTTGGAAAGATAATGGTGAAAAGAAGTTTTATAAGAAGAGAAGCGGTCAGTTCTGGAAGTATCTTTGCACATTACCTATAAATCTTGAACGCTACCAAATCTTCAATGAACTGAACAAAAGAACTGCAGCACTTATGACAGAAGACAATTGTTTCGTTTATGCTTGCATTCAGGCTGGAGTAAATGAAGAAACTATTGACCACATGAGAGAAGTCATTCGTGTTAGAGACTTTCCTCAAAGTAAAGTACAAGAAATTTCTGACGCAACAGGTATAGCATTTAATGTTACCATTGGTTATTTCAATGACTCAAGACATAATGAAATAAAGAGATACATACCAAAAGAATGTGAAACTGTTCGAACTATTGACTTACTTCTTGTTGAAGACCACTACATGCTAAATGAAAGACTTACCAATGACAACATATTTCATTCGCAACTATATAGAAATCTTGAAGGAGTGTGGTGGAATGAACATTGAGAAACAGATGAAGATTTATACAAAGAGAGAAGATAAATATGTAGTTCGCATGGATAGAACTACACCGCTATGGGATGTTATGAAAACATTGTGGGAGTGCAAATATTTCGAACCTATTTCTTATGGAGAACTTTTCACATATACGACTGACTTATATAAACAGAACCTTGCACCATTTAAAGATTTGACATATGCTCCAAAGTATTGTGTACAACTGAAGAAGAAAGCGAGTCAAAAGAAGTAAATAAATAAATGTAAGTTCATTCCTGAGCACGTTTTCTTTGCTGACTTTGAGTGTAGTACGATGGCTTTCATAAAGCTTTTAACATCTGTTATGACAGTGAAGATGGTTCAGTGAGTGAAAGCATTTGGGGTCAGAACTGTGCAACAGAATTTTTGGAACGACTTCCTGACAAGAGTTTAATATATTTCCATAACCTCAGCTATGATATAAACTTCATCTTAAGACACATGACAGAAGTGAAAGGAACTCCATCATTAAAGGTTCACGAACAATGCAAATAACTGGCTTATATAAAGGAAGGGCAATTATTATAAAAGACTCTTACAGTGTTATAAATAAGAAGCTTAAACTATTTCCTGCTATGTTTAACTTACAAACAGGACCGAAAGAAGTATTTCCATACAACTACTACAGCAGTTTGTTAGCAAATGACAACAGAACTGGTGTCATTTCTGAAGCATGTAAGTTTATCCAGGATGCAGATACATTTATGAAAAACATAGATTCCATCAAAGGTTGCAGAATAGATGAAAACCACTTCGACTTAGAAAAAGTATAGCACATTTTATTGCAAACAAGATGTAAGAATTTTAAGAGAAGGTTTTGTTAAGTTCCGCAATGACATATTGAAAGAATTTGATTTAAACGTTTATGACTACGTTAGTATTTGTTCAATTGCTAACAAATTATTTTGAGAACAGAGTGTACTTCCCGAATGGAAATCTTTATGACCTCTCAAATAAACCAAGAGAATTTATTTCAGATGCATTCAAGGTGGAAGATGTATGCTGTCAGATAACATGAAACAAAAGAGCGAAAAGAAACTCATTGCTGATTTCGACGCTGTTTCATTATATCCATCAGCTATAGCAAGACTTTATACTTTAGAAGGAATTCCAAAGGTTATGAGAAAGAAGAAATGTTAAGCACAGAGTATCTCATGAAACTTTATTCGATGACGACCAAAAGGAACCCATTGGTGAAAAGTTTATGTCTGGCTTCTTTGTTCTCATTAGATAAAAGAGATTAGCTACATAGACACTTTCCTTTAATAGTTTGTGACCCTGAACTAAATCCAGAACTTAACGTTCCCAGAAGTTCAAACTCTTGCTGTCTCATGTATTGTTGACCATTATAACATTACAAGACCTTATAAAATATCAAGGTGTCAAATGTGAAGTGTTGCAAGGATACTACTACGATGAAACAGAGATATTAGAATAAGAGATGAAGTAAAGAAGTTGTTTGAGTTAAGGTTAAAGTATAGAAAGAAGGAAATCCTTTGCAAAAATATAAAGCTCATTCTGAACAGTATTTTATGGCAAACTATTCTATCTCCTATTGAGTCAAAAATAACCATAGTAATTGACAAAGATGCTATAAGATATGCCATCAGAAACTACAACCATATAGTGAAGTTCGAAGGTTTGGATGGTTCAGATAAAACTATTTTCAAGCTAACGAAAAGCATTTGCAGACACTTTAACTTCTGTCCACTTGGTGTTAATATTCTGTCTATGTCGAAGAGAATAATGAATGAAGTATTCTGTACTGCTGAAGATATGGGACTTCAAATATTTTACCAGGATACAGATTCGATGCACATTTACAATGAAGATATCCCTCGTTTAGCTGAAGAGTTTAAGAAGAGATACGGTAGAGAACTTATTGGTAAAAACCTTGGTCAATTTCATAGCGACTTCGCAGAAATAACACCTGGAAAACAAAGTTTAGCATACAAGTCAATATTTTGTGGAAAGAAGACCTACATAGACTTACTCACTAACGATTTAAATGAAGTTGCATTTCACTGCAGAATGAAAGGCGTGAAGCAAGATGTTATTACTTTAACCGCTAATGAAATGTTTCCTGACTCTGTTCAGTGTTTCTATGATGAAGATAAAGGTTTAATGGTTCCGCAAGGAAAATTTGACAAAGACTCTGAGTTCAGTGTCATGAAACTTTATAAAGCACTTTATGACGGTCAAGAGATTGGATTTGACTTATGTAAGTCATGTCAACCTTGCTTTGAAGAGAAGTTTAACTTCTCAATAACGACTAAAACAAGCTTTATTCGTAAGTTGAAGTTCTGAGGTCATTTATTTTTGTCAGCAATGAGGTCATGAATGAGGTCAGCAATGAGGTCATGAATGAGGTCATGAATGAGGTCAGCAATGAGGTCATTCGTGATAAAAATAAAGCTAGCGTAGATTTTACAATACTGCGATGGTAGAGTTTAAGAGTTGTGCTTCAATGTAGAGACAGTCCTTATGGTCTGGAGGCAAGAACACTGGGCAGTTATGGTCATGAGTGGAGAACATGTCTATCCAAAACTCACGATTGAAGCCAGTTAATTTATAGTATTTAGGGTTAGGAAGTGGTGAAGTTCTTGTATGACCAATGAACTCATTTTCAACTCCCTTACTTAAGTTTGAATATAATATAGCTTGCTTTCTATCCCAAAATGCCAGGTGTTACAATCTTTGAAAATTCATTTTTCCTCGGAAGCATTGCATCATAATTGAAAACATTCTTGAAATCATCACTTGGTTCAGAGATTTGAAATCTTATATGTAATGGATTTTCTTTCTCTTTAGCGACTTCATTGAATGGTGAGAATACAACAAACTGACAGTCATGTGTTCCATCTTCATTTTCATTAAATTCATAATGAAAGTCTATAAGTTGTGGCTGACTACCTTCTTCTTTCAGTTGTGCAAGAAACTCACGTAAAGGCTGTAAAGTTTGTACTTCAATGTTGAACTTTTTCTCGAACATCTCATTAAATGAAATCATACATTGTTGCAATGTTGTATCGTCTTTAAAGTATTTGTATATGTGAATGTTTTGGGCGCTTAAAGACTGTTCGTCATTTTCTATCTCGACTTGAAGTATAAAGTCAACCTTTCTGAAAGCACGTGTTATATACATAGATGTTATGCCAATGTACTTCTCTTCATTTATGTTCACAATCCAGTCTGTTGGAAACTTAAACGTTACTCTGTTCCCCTTTATTTTGACGTCAGGGTTTTCACTACTGAACGCAACAGATAAAGGTATTTGTCTATACATTTAATTCGGATAAAAATAACCATTTACTCTTTCTTTGCTTCAGCTTCTTTAGCTTTTGCTTCAGCTTCTTCTCTAGCTTTCTTCGCCAGCAAACGTGGGTTCTTTTGTCTTCCAGCAGCTAATGCAGCAAGTTGTTTTTCACTAAGTTTTCTCTTTGGTCTCTCTGGCTTTTGTTCCTTCAGTTCGGATAAAATTTGCTCACGAATTTCTTTCTTCAATGCTTCAACATCTATGACCCCTTGGGTCTTGTCCGTAGGACTTGTCTGAGTCATTTGACTGCAGATAAAAAATAAAATTAAAACTTTAACCGATGTAAAATGAGCTTGTCAAAATCAGAGCGAGAGTCTATTATATTAAATGACGCAAGAGGAATACAACATTCTTTCTATTACGTAAGTCAGAGTAAAGATGGTAAAATATATGTAAGAAAAAGAAAGGTTCCATTAGCGAATGCAGAAAGCGACAACATTAAGGTGCATGGCAAGGGTGAAGACCATATAAAACCTTCTGTTCAAACTGAAAAGTCAATAGAACCAGAAGAAAAGAAGCCAGATGTACTTTCAATAACGAACCAAGAGCTTATTGCAAAGTTCGTGAATTTCATTGAAAAGCAAACCGAGTCAAAGAACCCTGACCCACCAGTGAAAGAAGTTGAGACAAAAGAGAATGTACAGTTCATTGAAAATGTCAAGAAACAACTTCCACCACGAATGTCAAGAAGAAGAGTGAGAATAATGAAGTAAATAGATATTTTTATCCGAAGTAAATACATGCAGAACGAACAGTTAAACGAATTTACTCCAGCAGAGCATATTCATCAGATTCGCTCATATTTCGATATCATAGACAATGCAGTTCAAATTGGTGACACTAATAGAAAATATTCTGACGCAAAGATTCCATCACAACCTGGAACTGCTAAAGATAACACATGGGTAACATTCAATCTCTCACCTCCTGGTGAAAATATGTTGGACCTTTACAATACATTCATTACGTATAAAATGGAAGGTCAATTTATTGTAGATAAAGAAATTGGTTCAGGTTCCAATAAAACAAACCCACCAGGATTTTGGATTGGTTTCGATGACGCTTTCTATGCAGTTGCTGGATATCAAATCCTTGCAAATGGTCGTATCGTATATTCTCAAGACAACGCAAGAGAAGAAGCATATATAACTTCAAACTCACAAACTACCGAACAAATAAAGAAAGTAGATGTTTTCTCAAAGACTCGACATGAAGATGTATGGAGTCATTCGGGAACATGCAGAACAGGACAAATTGTTAGTGGTCCAATTACAGCAGGAAAATCATTTGATTTTAAGCTTCGTTTAAGAATTCCTGTTAGAAGATTCCTTCCATTAGAAGCTATTCGATTTATTCCAGCTTTTGCAGGAAACATTCAGCTTAAAGTAAAGTTCAGTAGCGACGCCTTACAATGCACATCTATATCTGTAAAATGATATCATTGCGTTCAATCCAACTCTTAAAGTTGCATTTGCTTCAGATTCAAATCCACCGACAAATAAATTTGTTCCATGGAATGAACCATTCACTATGATAACGAAGGCAATAGAAGCTAGTGGAACAGTTACTATTACAACTGTAACCCAGCAACTATTTCGAACAAAGATGGATTTTAATGAATGTTTCATTCATCCAAAGTCATTCTCTTTAGACCCTAACATTTATACAGAACTTGTAGAACATTATACAAACGAGGCTTTATGTTTTCCTGTTAAAGTTATGGATTGGATTCCTATGGACGGTTCATTCTCAAAGAATACAGATAGTTCAAGTGCAACATTTACAGCAGCTTATACGCCTATTAATGTTAAAAGTATTTGGGCACTATTTAGAAAGAAAGACAACTATTATGTTAATTTTGAGAGCCCTAAGTTTAAATATCTTCAGCTTTCCATGGGAGCTTATGGAAATATGCCTGCAGAACCTGAAAAATCATATGGACCTGTATTTTATGAAATGGTTGCGAACGCTTGCAATACAAACAATGATATGATTGGATTTAATGAAGATGTTATGAGGTCATTGGTGGATGATGGTAGTGTGGAACATAAATGGGATAGCTATGACAACACACATTTCTTATGTGGTTTTCCAACAGAAGTGGACTTTTGCTTCCAGCAAGGTCAAACATCTACTGCTCCAATAACATACAAATTGTCTGTTAAAGGACCTATTGAACTAGCAACTGAAAACGTACCAAAGCCACTTATTGGATTTATGAGGGATTGTTGCTTTGCCATTCAGGTGCGTGCTAATGGAATCCCAATAATAAGATTAGATGACTATAACTTAGCTACGGACGACAGTGAGGAATAAAGGATGAACGTTTATTTTTAAAGCTTATAAATGAGTTCTTCATCAAGCTCTCGTGAACCTTCACCATCTATGAAACAAACTTTACCAAACGATTATGGGAGCACCTATTGAATATTTCTTACGAGCTGCACAATGGCAAAGAGCAGTCTCACCAAGGTTAGGTGTTCCACCAGCTCCTGTCAAAAATAGCATTTGGTCAAGTCCTTATATAAAATATGGTCTCCCACTAGGTTTGCTAGCTACAGCAGGAGCAGTAATGATGTTGAAAGAAATAAAGCAAATGTTGTAAATAATACTGAAGTAGCTGAAGTTAAACAAACTCCAACACCTTCGCCAAAACCAACGTCAAAACCAACGCCTTCACAAGCAAAACCTTCAATGACTCCTGAACCTATGGAAGTACAAACTCCTGTTCAAAAGTCAACTCCTAAACCGACTCCAACATTTAAACTAGAACCTACACCACAAATAAATCGTAAAACTCCTGCGTTTCCTTACTGAAAAAAATAACGTTCTTTTTATTTAATATTAAAATTTTTATTTGATTGAAATGACAAATAAAGTCACTGAAGCAATGAAGCAAAAGTTCTTGGTAGAATACATTAAATCAGGAACTATTCCAGAAGGTTTTTACATTCATACTATGAAGGATGGTAGAGTTCAGTTTAGAAAGATAAAGCAACCATTAGATAAAGAAGGAATTTTGAGAAAGATTAAACTTCATGAGGACAACATTGCTGAACTTAGGAAGAAGTTAGAAGAGTTGGAGAAAGGAAGAGAGTTATAAAGCAATGAATTCAACAGGGTGAAAAAAGAGGTGAGATCTCACCACTTCACCTAAATTTATTTTTGTGCTATGTTTTCATACGTGTGGGAGTGGTGATATCATTAATTTTTTATTTTATTTTTATTTTATTTTTATTTTATTTTTATATAAATGACGAAAACTATTGAGATAACAAACTACAACGGTCATGAGTTCAAGAATTTGTTCTTCGTTCCTCGTGAAAATACATTCTATCAGATACGAGGGAGAAAGGGTAAAGTTAGTTTGAGCGTTTATGACTACAAGCATAATGGAAAGTTTATACAAGCATACGATACAAACGGTAAGCGTGTTTCATTAGCTTTGTCAAAACTTACAGGTATAAACTATGACAGTGATTTTGACCTATATGAAGAAGAAAGTGAGTCAGAAGATTATGAGCTGTTATATGAAGCACAGCAATGGGAGGAGTTGCAATACTTTTGTAAGTGAGAACGTTTATTTTTTTACATTAGTGAAGTCGTTTGTGAAAACATTAGTGAGGTGAAGTGGTTGGTGAAAACGTTAGTGAGGTGAAGTGGTTGGTGGCTTTGTAAATATTTAAGGTTAAGTTAGTGTTGTCGTTTGTGTTGTAAAATATACGTTAACGGTTTCGTAAAGTGTCAAATTCACATATAATGGGTAAGGTGGAACGCAGTGCCGCCGTACCCATGATATGTATACTAACTATTGCAAACTTTTTGGCACCAGTAGCGAAAACGGCAGGAACTATCATAGGTGGAGTATTAGGTACTAAAGCAGGTAATCCGGCGATGGGAGCACAAGCAGGTAACGCAGTTGGTGGAATTGCTGAAGGAATACTTAATAAAATAGGAGGTAGATAGTGGAAAAATAAATTATTTTAAAATTATTTTTATCTTAGTATCGGTTGTAGTCTTTGATAAACTTTTTCTCCTTTATTTAAAACTTCTCTTATTGGGGCGGCTTTTGGCGTTATTGATTCAGCAACGTCACTAATTGCTTCTTTATTCTTAAATATCCAATTTGCTCCCTTCTTCAATGTTTCCCAAACTTTATGCGCTCCTCTTTTTACTTTATCCCACAGTTTCTTAAATATACCTGCAGCCATAGTTGATTATTTCATTAAAATTAAAAATTCATTTTCATCTTTTAATTTTGATTTTTTATTTATTAATAAATGACGACTAACTATTTGGTGCCAAACACTAAACCGATTAATGGAAATGTGTTTCATTCATTCGAAAAGATAAATGAAATATTCGCAAAGAATGACGGTAGAAGATATTATAGAGAACTTGAAAATTCATGCTATGACTCTGATGCTCCATATTTTGATGATAAACAAACTCATTTAAGAATTACGAATCCGGCTCATGATGTGAACCAATTAGGTGACACATATATTAAACGCAAAGTTAAAGCAACTCTAGTTTCAAATAAAGCTTTCACATGTGATGCCGCTTTTAAATGCATGCGTTTATTCGTTGGTTACAAATCATCAAATCAAAGCTTTAAACAATTAGAAGTAGAAACTGAAAGAGGTGATGCCGGTTATCTTCAGATGGATTGCGCCCGTGAATCTTTCGCATTTGCAACATATAAACCAAAATCAGAAAGGAAAGTTAAAAAGTTTGTTCATTCGTTATATAATAATGTTCAAAAATATGATAACTCAGTATGTGGTAAATATATTGACCCTTCAGAAGTTTTCAAGAGAGCAAATGAAGAAGTTGATGTCACTTTTGATATGATTATTCCGGTAAATGATTTGTTAGCATTTCAGGCGTTCGATGATTATCCTAAATCATTTGGTGATATCATTCTTAAATATTATGTTTTCAGGGATACTTTAGTATTTTGTCAGGTTGACCCGTTAAGAGTTGCTGATTTACAAAATTACGTTTATGAAAAGATAACTGATGAAAATTATGAAAAGATTATGAATCATGTTTATAAATATGATCGCAAATTCCAACAAATCGGACTTCCTGCCAAATTAATTACAAGCTTAGCCGCTACATCTGCTGACGCAACAGTTGATGACGTTATTATTTCATGCACAAAGATGGAAGTTTTAGAGGATAAATGCATTACACCAGGATACGGTTTAATTGAAGAATCAGTTAAAGCAATACCACGTTTATTCAGTAAGGAAGATCCATTCATGATTCCAGCTCAACATATTGACGTTCGTTCACTAAATGGAGGTTGCATCACTCCTGAAGGTATTAGCTCAGATTTCTCATACGCTCTTCATAATGTTACAGATGTTGTGTTAACATTTCCGAAGAATGCAATGCAAAGAACGTTTTAGAAAATCCAATGCTTCGAGGTCTTCAGGTCACTATAGATTCCAGAAACTTCCCCGATCAAGCGATGACCACAGTGGGCGACATATTCTTTACACGTATGCTTCAAGCTTCTGATTTAGATGGAGTGAATGAATGCACAGAAGAATACGAGGACTCATTAACTAGACCACTGAATGCAGATGATGGCACGCCATTAGCTAGAACATGGAAAGACCAAACTTCATTCTTATGCACTATTCCAGTTCAACGTGATGGAGCGGGTATATTCTTTGATGGATTAGAAACTTTCAACTCACAAGTTACAGTACAAGTGAAAGCTTATCCAATCATTCAGGGTGAAAATGACACTTACTGTTCAAAGGTGACAAATCCTCCTCAGGTTTGGTTTACTAGGACTACATATTGGACATGGACACCGGATGAAGGTTTGAAATATCATCCAACAGGTACACCACCACAGTATAGAAGTTCATATGATGAAATATTGATGAATAGAAATGTTTAAAATTATAAATTTATTTTTGATTAAATGGATTTAAATTCATCCCCTCCTTATGAAGAATTAGCGGAGTATATAATACATACGTAGATGATATGATTAATGAAGCATTGAGTGATAATAGAAATGCTCTATCTAAGGAAAAATTAATGAAAATTCCATATTCTGAATGTTACTTAAATTCAATCACTGCAGCAATTGGTAAACAAAATAAAGGTAAAACATTAACGATATTAAAACAAATTATCATTATTGCTAACACTTCCCCCTATTCACATGTGTTAATTTATATCAACCGTTCAGGTTCACCTTCAGATGATACATTTGAATCTTTAAAGCATTTAATCAAAATTCCAATTATTTATTTATCACAAGAAGAAGCAGAAGATTATTTAAAAAACTTTTTAATGTATAAAGAATTATATAATACAATCAAGAAGCAAGGATTAGAGGATAAAATTATTTGATAAACAACGGGAAAACACGATAAATTATTTGAAACACTTTCTATTTCAAATTTTGATAGAGAATTTTTGCATTCACTCTTTTTCTAGATGATGCGGTGAAATCAAAACTAATAACAAATGAGAAATCATATTTTAATCAATTATTAACTCAATGTCGACACATTCAGTGTTCATTCTTCATGGCTGTTCAATACTTTAAAGCATTAAGCACAAACATTAAATCAAATCTATCAACCCTTTTTATTTCAGTGGGTTTAGTCGTCAACAGTTGAACGTTATGCTTTATCAAGTGAATCTACCAATGAGCATTAATGAACTTTACACACAATATCAGCAATTAGGTGAACATGGAAAAATAATAGTTGATTTAAATAAAGGAGGTGTTAAATTGATTAACTTTTTATAATTAATTTTTATTTTTTATTTATAATTAAACATGACAGAAATAGCAAATTTTCTACAGGTTCCATTAAAACAAGGAACAAACAAAAAGGGTGCATATAATAGAACTATGAAAGTTCCTGATGGAATGAAAGAATTAGTTCATATTGTTGCTGGTCTTCAAAAAGATGTTAAACAAATGAGAAACGTTTTAACATTACCAGAAGCTCAAGCATATGCCAAACGTCATGGTCCAAATTGGGAAGCACACGAAGCAGACATTACGGGTCCGAATGGAAAACCTGATGGTATAAATGAAGTTTTCGTTACTGATGGTCAAGGTAATATTAAAGTCATAAATGGTTATAAATTAACTATAACTGATTATCTAAACGTAAAGCATATAATGAACGTTATCCTATGCAATTTGATGAAAATGGAAAAGCTGTTAAACAATACATTGGAGAAGGTAAAGATGGTCCAATTAATTCATACCGTTATAATCCATATTCTTATTTCAATGAAGAATTAAATGCTATTGAAGAGGGACCGGATGGATTACCACAATATTCTAACAAGTTTGATGGTCAATATGCAAATATTAGACCTGAAATTTCAGCCAGAAATTCTTTAAAGTTTTTATTCGATCCAGTTTTCGCAAATGTTAAAGATGAACTTAAACAGCAATTCCAACCAATTATAGTAGCAAGAATTGCATCAGGTGCTTTATCTCAAGCATTCAAAGATTTAATTAAGAAACCATTATATCAGCAACGTGGTTTAACTTATGATTTAGTTAAGGAATCAGATAAAAGAAAATTTGAGAAATCAGATGATTATAAGAATGCAATTAATGAATATATTCGGTCTATTAATTTCGATGAAAATGCTAAAAATCAACTTCATGAACAAATACAGGGAATAATAGATTCAAAACTTCCAGCAAAATAAAAGTTTAAATATATTTTTTATTCGATTATAAATGAGAAGACGTTTCACTAGTCAAAAGAACACTAACGCAAAAGCAGAGATTACGGTTGGTTATAACGTAAATGATGATAAATCACGAATTATTCAAATGTTAAAGTTAATGTTAGCCCTGAATTAACAAGGTCAGCAACTCAACCAAATTTATTAACTCGTGACTTACCGAAGAATGAGGAGAATGAAGAAAACCATGAGAATGGAGACCCAATCATTTTATCTGAACCCGGTAAAGAACCTGTTGAAATTCCCACTTATCCAACATACCCCCACCTCTTTCATCAAACATCGAGAACCCATATAAAATAGACATTAATTCAGAATTAATGAAAATTTACCGTGATATAATAATTAATAATTATGATTCAATAATAAATTTAATTGATCAATCCGGTTTAATTATTTTACCTTATGAATCATTAATTCACATTATCGCCATTCTTTGTGATGTTCAAGATTCAGACGTTAAGATTCAATTTTTCATAGATGATGAGGTTTCATGCTGCGGAACAGTTGCAGAAATAAATCCTATAAAGGATATTAGCACAATTAAGATATCAAAGAACGGAACAACAACTGAACTTCATTTAACATATAATGATATTTATAATAAAATAGTTGATGAATATAAAATATCACTTGAAAAAATTCTTTGTTAAGGCTATTTAATATTCAAGCATTAACATTATCGAATAATAATCCTTTGAATCATAATCAATAATTGACCTTTCACCAGTTTCTATCGTTTGTTTTATTTCTTTTTGTTCCCCACTATCCGGATCGGTCATTGTAATTGTTTTTGTTATAGTATCAGCTTTATCTTTAACTTCAATCTTTTTTCCATCGGGATATTTAAACCAAAATTCCAAAAATTCGATATTGTCAATCTGTTCATATTTTAATCTATCAATTACATTTTTAATACCATCTGAAAATCTTATGAAATGGTCATTATATGGGTTTGATTGAACTAAATTTGAATGAAGTGAAATATAACCTGTTGATGAATATGACACTGACTCATATTTTCTGAAAACACTAAAATTTATAACATGAATGAATTTCTTATTCGTTGAATTTATGAATTCTTGAGGTAATCTTATTCTAGTTTTATTTATCACTGGAAAATAACGCTTTACCATATTTTAATCGTAATAAAAATGTCAATTATCAATATTATTTCGAATAATAACTGTGAATTAAATTTAACAGTTAGCGGAATTATAATGTTACTCTCGTTTCTGTGAGTGGTAAATTTAATCCCATTCTTTTAGACCCTTCAGATTATATATCATTTATTAAAGATGACCTTGAAAAAACGTATGATATGTATATAAATAATGTGATAGCGAAATGGGATATTAACACGATTTTAAGTTATTTAAATGAATCATTTATCGTATGGTATGAAGAAAATTTTAAATCAAAACCTGATAAACTTTTTGAACTTGATGAAATAAATAACCTTATTAAATTCCCGCTGAAAATTAAATTTTGTACTCCTCATCTTCGTTCATTGTTGGGGATATTAAATTTTGAAAAAGATGTTGGGGATGTTTTGTATTCTGACACTGGTTCCAATTTCATTTTAATCAAATGTGATAAAGTTAATACCCCAATGAGATTTTCACATCAAACATTAGACCCTAACTCTTACCCATCAATACAAAACATTTTATCCATCAACTTAAACACATTTTCTTTATCATATCCGTTTCAATTATCCGGGAATTCATTTATTCTTCATTCAAAAGATTTATCAAATATTAAATTTAGAATAACTGACCTATTTGATTGTGATTTAGAATTCATGAATGAGATATTATGGCAATTTGAAATAGAAAAAATAGCTGATGAGATTACGGATTAAATATTTATTTTTAAATCATAATAAATGATTAAACAACAGCAACCACAGCAACTTAAGGCGCAAAACACCCAGGTCCTTCAGACCATTACATACGCCATATATGCATATAATTCAAAGACGGCAGAACAAACGCAAAGGTTGAAATATGGAGATTTGGAGATAGTATTGAAAAATGACCATTTCGAATTCGTTTGCAAAGGTGGTGCAGTGATATCAAATATAAAAGAAATTTTATTTATGAATTCAAAAATTAAAGGAATAACCGATGATATAACATCAATTCCACCAGAAGAACAGAGATATTACGCATTAAATGCATTTCCTAAAGTTTCGAAGATTGGAAGATTTAATTTAAATGAGGAATTCATAGAAGGTTTCCTAAACGACATAATGAAGAAAGCAGATAAGGAATATGTGGATAGTGAATTAATGAAGAAGGCAAATTTGGTTTATGTTGATGAAAAAGATAATGAAATTAAAGAAAAGGTTGAAGGGTATCATGAATGGACATTTGAGACTTTTAAAGTTAAAGCTGATACAGAATGGGTTTCGGGATGTTTAGACCTTAAAGCAGATAAAACTTATGTTGATGAAAATTATGCAAAGAAGTCGGAAGTAAATGATGTGATTACAAGCATGAAAAATGAAATACTTCAAACATTATATCCTGTTGGTTCTATTTATACATCAATGAATTCAACAAATCCAGCAACAATTTTAGGTTTTGGTATGTGGAAGCAGATTGTAGACAAATTCTTATACTGTGCTAGTTATTCAAAGCAAACAGGTGGTTCGAAGAAAATTAAAGAAGCAAACCTTCCACCGCACACTCATACGGGAACTACAAACTTTTCTGGCGACCATAGCCACTCATTAAGAGACCACCCATTATACAACTCAGAATATGAAGCTGGCTATGATGTTTTATCTCCAGATTATAACCATTCAGCAAAAAAGACTTTTCGACCAACTGAACCAGGAGGAAATCATGTCCATACTTTCACAACAAATCCAACAGGTTCGGGTAAAGATTATATGCCACCATTTGTGACTGTATTCGCATGGTACCGCGTTCAATGAATGAACTAAATATATTTTATGTCTGTAATTAATTAGGTAATGAAGTAATGGATGAACTGCAGAAATAAATTTTATCGTTAATGTTTACGTTAATGGTTTCAGGTTATTCAATAATTAATTATTTTTGAAGAACTGAAGGTGTCACTACGTCACCATGTGTCACTCAGTTAATTAACTTCTCTGAAAAAATGAGACAACATGACATTTTGACAACAGTCCTGGAAATTTGATGCAGTCCAAAAATAAAGTTAGTTTTAAAATTATTTTTATTTTTTTATTCCTATATAAATGACAGCAACAAACAACAACAGCAACTATATCGTTTCTGATGAAAAAGTTATTGATTCATTAGTTGAGGAATTAGTTGTGGCAGAAACTAAAACCCTCAACGAAAGAATTGGTGAAAACAAGATTGATTTACACAACTACCTCAAACATGATGGAGGAAGAGGAAGGAAAACTGGTACAGCTTTATTAGTAAATAAAATATCAAATTTAACGATTATAGATGTTGATATCAATAAATCGTACAATGATGAACTTAAAGAAACAGTTGGAAAAGATATTTTATCAAAACTTTCGGATAAAGATGTTATCGTTAAAACCGCTTCAGGAGGTCTTCACATTTATTGCAACACTAATTTCTTCTATGCAGTTTCGAACAGAATGATTAAATGTTATTCCTGCAATGATTATGATATTGATATCATGACTTCTATTGATGATTCAAAGCGTTCTTTAGTAGTTATGGCTGATTCAAGAGTTCGCAAGAATGCAACAGAACCAATCAATACATACTCATTCATTCGTGGAAGTTACGATTCAACATTAACTAGAACAGTAAACGATATATTAAATGATTTGAATATTAAGGTAAGAGTTGAACAGAAGAACGAAGAAATAAAGACTATCATGAATGAAAACAAAGATGTAAACATTGACGATAAACTTGCCCAGAGCATAGTTGATGGCATCAGTGATTTTGAAGTACATAATGACGGTGGAAACATGAATTTAGAAAAAGAAGTTACATTATTCACACTGTTTCAAGCTATTAATTCGTTACCTAATCATTTAATTAATGAAGCATACGATAACGTTTATAACTTCTGCAATTTAACTGAAAATGCAAAAAGTAATTTTGAAAAAGCACGTAGTAGATATGCACATTTAATGACTTCTCCATTTGTTTTGGTGAAGATTCTAAAACTATATCAAAAGGAATATTATGATGAATACGTTTTACCTTTATTACGTAAGCCAAAAATAACATTTGATATAAAACTTGATGATTCATTCTTGATAACAGATATTAGACGCAAGGCTGAAAATCATCAGTATAAAAACAGTTCTGAAGTAATTGAGGATTTATCACGTGTCATTCGTTTTGTAGATTGTGGAAACAAATACTTCATTCAGAAAGATTACAACATACACGACAAAATGAATCAAATATCATTCGTTCTTCAATCAAACATGAAAGAGTCACTCAAAATGATTAAATTATTTAAAGAAGAAGGTAAAACCATAACAGCATGGGATGTACTATTAAATCAATTGTCTTCATTAACCGTTAGGGGTGTTTGCTTTAAATCTGATTCTCCAGATGTTTTCTCAACGTTTCAAGGTTATAAATACAACGTTCTCGAAAAACCAGATTACTCAAAAATTGAGATGTTTATGAATTTCATTAAAGAAGCCATTTGTGATAATAACGATGAAGTGTATAAATACCTACTCGGCTGGATTGCATCAATGATTCAACATCCTGGAATCAAGAATGAAACAGCAATTATTTTGAAAGGACTTCAGGGAACAGGTAAAAACAGATTTACAGACATTATTTCTGAACTTCTCGCTGGTTATTCATGTAAAAACATTACCGAAATAAGTGAGCTAACGGGTAATTTCAATTCAGTAGTTGAGAATAAAATGTTTCTTGTACTTAATGAACTCAAGAATGTAGGTGAAGATAGACTCGCAAACTTCAACGCTTTGAAATCAATTATTACGGATAATGAGATTAGAATTAATGAAAAGAATCAACCCAGAAGAACTGCTCAGAATGTTGCAAACTTCATTTTCGTAACTAATAACATCTACCCTGTCAAAATTGAAGTTGGAGACAGAAGATACGTAGTTTTAAGAGTTAATGGTAAATTCAAGGGTCAATTTGATTACTTCAAGAATTTGATGAATTCATGCACAAAGGAATTTTATGATAATTTACTAACGTATTTTATGCAATATGACCTTTCATCATTTAATGTACGAATCATACCGATGACTGAAGCCAAACAAGATTTAATTGAATTATCAACAAATCCTTTAGATGTATGGATAAATACACATTATGATGAATTGAGTGCAGGTATGACGTGTGAAAATGCTCTATTCTGCAAACCATCAGACATGAAAGACAAGAATTTCCAAATGAGCATTAAGGATAAATGTGATAAGAAACAGAGAAGAATAGATGGTAAACAAACATGGTGTTATGTTTTGAAAGAAGAAATGAAAGGATTATATAAACAGGTTGAACCAAACAATAATGAGGATTCATTTACTGACGATGAAATACCTGTAAATGAAGCTTTATAAAGTATGATTTGAATTTATTTTTGCATTAATCCTGCTGTGTTGTCAAAATGTCATGTTGTCTCATTTTTTCAGAGAAGTTAATTAACCGAGTGACACATGGTGACGTAGTGACACCTTCAGTTATTCAAAAATAATTAATTATTGAATAACCTGAAACCATTAACGATAAAATAAGTGATAACAAAATTTTATTTTTATATAAATGGATACCCCACAAGCTCAAAATTTACCACGAATCATAACAAGGGAGGAAATGATAAAAATGATGCAAGAACGAATTAAAAACAACAAACCACGAAAACCGAGAAGATGTGGTTATGCAGTAATGATGGAAAGAAGAACCTAGAAGGGTTCGGGAAGAGGAATAAAAATTAAATTTGGATTGAGTTTAAAAATTCATCTTTATTAAATTCATCTCTTCCAATCAATTTATTTATTCTATTAAATTCTTTTATTTTTGCTTCACTCAGTTTAAGGATTGAACGGTAAGTTTCTAATTTTTCGATTATTTCTTTCCTCTCTTTATCATTTTCAGCCCCACCGCATTGCGGCTTCTTTTTGTAATAGCATATTTTTGATTTAATTCTGTTTAGTTTCTTTTTATATTCATCGTCTGGACTCTTGGATGCTTTGTTGTCACTCATTTCTTACGAAATAAAAAAATTAAATATTATTTAAATATAATGGAGTAATAAAATAAATTGGAATTTCTATTAATTTATTGTCAACTTCAACTAATACATTACCGTTAATATATCTAACAAATTCAGCTATTGTGTCAAATCTTCGTCTTCTTTTTGTCATTGATTTATCAGTTTTTCCATAATCGAGATGAATCAAAACTTTATTCCCTTTTTTAAAATTCATGAGCCCCGAATTAATTTGTTCACGTTTAACATCATTTAACCTTTCCATTTGCTTTCTAATATATTCCCATTCTTTTGAAATATCATTTTTCATTTCCACTGGTTTCATGTTTATAGTTCTATGCCATGTATTATTGTAATAATATACTAACTGTTGTATGATGGAGTCATGATTTCCATCCCAGTATATCTGACCGTTAACCCCTAACGCATCTCTAAGAGTTCTCATTACCACATCAACTATTTTATTATGAAACGTATATGGAGAAGATGAGAAGTAAAAATTAATTTGTGGGAAATAATGAGCCATAGCTGCCTGAAATCCTTTATCACCATCACCCCTTATATTATCTACTCTTTCATGATCTAGTAAGTATTGTATAGCTCTTCTTGTTTCCTGTTCTGTTTTCCCTTTCACCGGAATGCAATATAAATATCTAGTGTTAATGTTAATGGCAAATAAATAAGTAACGTTTCCTTTTGAATATTCTAAATGATCGATTTCGTATGAATATGGATATGGTGCAAATGAAGGGCGACTAAATTTTTCCTTTAACGGTTGAATTTTTGGGTCAGTTGGTTTATTTAATATCTTGAAATCCTTTTTAAAATCTTTTTGTTTCTTTAATGTTTGAAATGGATATAATAAAGTGAATGATGAAGGATTAACTGAAGGAGGAGGTACTGTCGTTGGAGGTTTTGGTATTGCAAGTGGTTTAATTTTATCTGCTTTGATTTTGGATGATGAAGTTTTGGAATTCATTCCCCCCTTCATTAATTCTGGATGTATTCTATTCATTTGTTTTAAATATACTGTATATAAAGGTTTGATATACTTTCCCGCTTCGAGTTTATGTTGAAGGATGAATTCCAAAAGTTGATCTTCATTTAAAAGTCGGGCTGAATATGGTTTAACTAATGAATCATAAATTAAGGCTTGTGCATCATTTATGGTCTGAAGGACCTGGGCGTTTTGCGGCTCAGGATTATATAATTTATATAATTCATCAATATCTTCTTCTGTTAATACTTTATTTTTGAAATCTTTCAACTGTTTAAGTTGTGATTTAGTTTTTCCCTTTGTATATTCATTATTTTTAATTTTGTCTTTAATTTTAGAAATTATTTTATCATGATATTTCAAAATTTCATTTTTATAATATGGATAATAATAATCCATATCATCACCCGTTATATTTTTATTATGTTTTTGGAGATATGATTTTAATTCATAATAATTAAGAAAATTTTGATTAAATACTAAATCATCAATTAAATTTTTTAAATCTACGTTATCCATTTATATAAAAATAAAATCAATGTTTTAAGGGTGCCCACCTCTTTGAATCGCATCATTAACGGTTCCTTTTGTCTCTTCTGTGGCATTTTATTAAATAAATGGCATACAACATCCATTTTCACAACATACAGCCTTAGTGTGTGCCCCTGTTAATGCAGTCTTACCGATTGTTAAGCGAGTCATTGACCCGTTTTTAAGTTGTAAATTAATATTCTGACCATCAAATATCACTTTATCATTTATTATATCCAAATAATTTTTAGGTGTTAATTGTTTATTTTGTCGTAAACTAACACCTTTCATTTTTTGTGCAATCTTTTTAAAATCACTTCCATCAATTGAACCGTTGAATGATGTATAACACTTAGGGCATAAAGCAACCATGTTATCACCTTGTTTCTCAATTGCTAAACCCAATAACTTCTTCTCATGTGCTTTTTCTTCAGCTTTATTCTTTAATTTAGGTTTAAATTTCTCATCAAAACAGAAGAAATCAAAAGGTGCGAATTTGAAAATGTTTTTATCATAAAATTGTTTATCGGTAACAATTGCTTGAAATGCTTGAGTGTTAGGAAGATTTGGGTCGCCAGCGATTGCCCAATAAGATGAATCAGTATCACCTTCAATGAAATGAAAACGATTAACATTCATGCATTTATACATAAAATCATAAATGAAAACTAAATACCAGTATTTTGCGTTATCTAAAGTAAAAAATGCCTCTTGTAAACATGTATCACATCTATAAAATCTATCTTTGAGCATCACTTGATATGTATCTTCACCTATTTCTCTTATATTTTTCAACTTATTTGACATACATGCAACGCGTGCCTTCTGTGCTTTCATTATTTTAGTCTTTGCGTAATTTTGTGTATTCATTGCATCGTAACCATATGATCCATTAAGTGAAATTTTGCAAAATAAACCTTTTCCTTTATTTCCTTCTAATTCAGCCTTTTGTCTTTCGTTCATAAATTTGTTCGCAAATTCATTAAAACAAGTGTTTTTCGTAAATGTTAAAATTGATTGAATATCATCGATGATAAAATGAAATCTATCTATTAGATACCAAAGATAATAAGAAGAAAATGGTTGATATTGGTTGTGTGTTGATGCTAACTGAGTTAATTTCCTCTGTTTCTGGTCAACTGGTAGATTGTTTGATTTCATGTAATTATACATAAAACCGCCAATTGTTTTTTCATCTGTGATAATATCTAAGTTTCTTATTATCGGTAAAAAGTTTATGTAATCATTAATGTATTTTTCATCAATGTGACCCTTTACTTCAGCCACGAATAAAGTATTTTTCTTCTTAATTATTCCCAGTGCTTTTGCTTTCTTTGTTGCTGTATCACAAATGATAACACCATTCAATCTTCCCGGCATATACATTTTATGGTCAGTATATTGAATGAAATCATGAGGATTAGATGAAAATGATGAAGGATATAATGAATTAAAGTCAACTCCAACGAAATGAGTCATAATGTTGGTGGTGTCCTCATTTGATACAGTTTTAGTTTCTGGACTATATGAAAGTTTATTAATGTGCGTGATTCCTTTAAGATTAACACGATGTTGAACATTTGATAGACCACCAGTAATTCCATTACGGAGAATGTGATAAGCTTCAACTGAATCTAAAGTCATTGGTAAATTATTTTTTAATGCATAATTTCTTAAATTGATTCTTAAACGTTGAACATCTTCATCTTTATTTGATTTTACGACATTGCAATAACAACACAATAACTGACAATTTTCTTTAGTATGTGGTTTTTCATTATCGATTCTATCTAATGTTGGTTTATTTGCATATGTAAACGCTTTACCACACATTTTGCATTTAGATGAAAGGATTAAATCGTGATAGTATTGAAAATCATCCATTGAAACATTATTTTTAGTATCCCTTTCTGCTTTTTCATCTTGTTTCTTATATGATTCAATTTTATATTTCCAATACTTTTTCGTTAATTCAAAAATTGATTCTATCTCTTCCTCAGGATATTTTTCATTAGGATTAAAGTCTTTATATGCTAAAGCGTAACGAATCATTGAAGCATTTGATGATAAAGAAAGATTATGAAGCATATCAATTTTATAAACAAATGTTTCTTCAATAATTTTATCAATTGGGTCAATCATAATTTCAACATCTTTATTGCAATAATGAATAAAATATTCTAATCTATTCTTAAAGTTTTTAGTATCATTGAGATATATTTGATAATCACTATCTGATATAGTTTCTTGGGTTAATGCTGAATAAAATGAATCTTGAGTGAATGGTTCCACTTTATATAATTCTTCTTCGTAATTTTCCCACGTGATAAATTGATAAGGGAAAAAGGATTTAACACGTGATTTATTGTTTCCGAAATCTTGAGTGAATTGGTCTAATGTCCCACCCGCTATATAATTTCTGATGTCAATAAATCTCAATTCATATGGAACGTTTGTTTTCTTTACAATGATTTGCTTAAATTGTGAAGATGAACCCAGCATTGATTTTATTTTCCATTTTGCAGTATTTAAATCACGAAGAATTAAATTTAAATCAAACTTTCCCGAATTAAAACCTATGATATTCACTTTATTGAATTCCTCATCTAGAAGTTCTTTAAATGCTTCCTTCTGTTTTTCATTTAATGTATGGGACAAAGTCCCCGCCGTTTGGTCTGAAAGACCTTCAGGACTCAAAGAGTCCGTTTGCGACTTCAATAATTCATCGTATTGACTCATATTTGATTCAACAACTAATGAACAGGTTGAAAATAAAAACTCAATCCAGTCAGAAATAAAAGAATCACTCGAAGTTAAGCAAAAATTCCTCGTATATGTTTTATCATTTAATTTAACCGTTGATGATACCATGAATGGTTTTAAGTAAGCGTTCAAAGTTGCACACTCAGAAAGTTGTAATTCTTCTTTAGTCTCTAATGTTTCGAAGTCAAAAGTAATATAATATCTTGTCGGTTTATAATATTTCTGCAAATTGTGAGCTAATAACCACTGATATATCTTCTGTTTCGTAATATGTGGTGCATATGGTTGCTGGGTATTTTGCAATTGAACGTCTTGAATTAATCTTCCATTATTTTCTTTACATTTCTCACAATGCTTTAAAAATCTTCTTTGGTTTTTCCTTTCTGGATCATCACGGATTGAATAAACTTCTTCTTTACAATATGGACAAACTTTATAGCCGGTGAGTGCTTCAACGTCTGTTATTCTGTCAGCGTGAAGTTTTCCACATGGACTCTGTGTTAATAAAATATTTATTGTTTCAAATTCTGGATCTATCATTATTGATTCCACTAATGGAAAGTCTACCTTATTTATGTCCACGTCTTCTGGTTGAGGATCACAATAATAGAAATCAATATTAACATTTAACATTCTCGCTAATCTCTCACTTTCTGATGAAATGTCAAACCCTTCATATGAATCTATTGCTTCATTTAAATAGCTTCTACGAGTTTTAGGATTAACACCATCAGGAATGTTATAGAAGCGTTTAAATAACCTTCTACCTTCTGCTCTAATTTGATTATCATTCATTTTAGCGGTTCCGTTTTTGTTCATTTATGTAAGAATAAAAAAATTAAAAAATAAATAAAAATAAAGTTTATTTTTAAAGCCCATAAAATGAATTAAGAACACATAAATTTTTATCATCTGCGACGTGACGAATACATTTTAATTTACTCAAGAATGCGTACCCTGATACATTAAATCTAATTCCTGTCTTATTTAATTTCACAACTTTGAAAAGGAATGTATGAATAGCTATAAATGATGAGAAGATGTTTTATGGTTGCTTCCATTTTTTCTGAAATAAATGAATAAATATAATGCTTATACGTTTTCATATCTTTTATATTCTTAATAACGAATGGTATAGACCTTTCCACTTCATCTTCCTTCGGTGCTGTTCTTTCATATGAAACATTATTAGTATCTTCAACAATGAAACCGCAATCACATAAAATTTTATATGTTCCAATGGTTTCTTTTGATATTTTATCTAATAAATCAAAAACTTTATCAACACCTGTGCATTTATTTAAATAATAATTTGTGTAAATATCATGATCTTCTTTCTTAATCGTATTAGTTGCATAAGTTACGTTTTTAAGAGCTTTTTTGAATTTCTCAGAATCTAAAGGTGGTGAAAGTAAGATACAAGGGTATTCTTCATTATCAATAAATTGTAACTTATGTTTACGTATAAATTTAGTACCTTCTTCTGAAAGTGTTTCGTCTATTTCACCATCTAATAAATTTTGTGTTGATTTTGAGACATAATTTTTAGAGGATGTTTTATTGTCGTCTGGAAAAAGTGACAAAATTATTATTGTCGTCTAAAAAGGTGACAAATTATTATTGTCGTCTGGAAAAGTGACAAAATTATCATTGTCGTCTAAAAAATAGATTTTTCAAGCATGTTTCGGTACCTAAATAAAGGAAGAACATCAATTCCATCTATGTATATAGTATGCAAACACGCATGATATATGGAGTAGCTCTTTATCTGGCTAAAAATCCTATTATTTAAAAATTCGCATTGTCGTCTAAAACCGCCAGACGACAATAATAATACCCCTAATTTTTATATCTTTCTTCATGAGATTTCTGAACTTCTGATTCCGAAGCTGGGATATTCATTAAATCCTCTACTTCATTTTCATTATATTTTTCAACTTCTCTTAATTCCTTAATTTTTTCATCTATTTCATCTCTTATTTTTTTCAGTTTTTCAATTTCATCGTATTCATCATCATCTTTAATCCGTTCTTCATAATATTCAGGGAAAACATCAGGTTCTTTTGGTTTTTCTTCTTCAGATGTAGGATATAAGAAATTTATAACATCATCTTTATTCATTTTTCCATCATAATCTAAATCATTTAATAACTCGGCAAATTTTTGACAATTTCTTAAATAATATTTACTAACTTCATAACACATCTCATCTAATATATCCTTTATTTCCTCGTTTGTGAATCCTAATGTTTTCACGTCGTTAGTTTTGACACTCATTTCATACAAAATAAAAAAATAAAATAATAAACATAACTAAGTTTTAATTTTTCGTAAGACATGAATTTTTAAAGGAGTGGGGGACAAACTCGCCCATTGTCACTTTTTCGTTAACCTTAAACTTGTAATTTTCATTATTTTTAATTAACCTTACTTCTTTCCCAATTCCTGATTTATTTTATTCACTTACTATTAAAAGTCACATTTTAATAAAATATAATAATTTATTTATAGCATTTTTTACTATACTGTAATAAAAAATTAATTATAATAAATTAAATGTTTATTAAATCAAATGTTTTCTTTGCAATAATATTTTTAATGTTGAGTAAACAATGTTGGGATCAAGTGTATCATTTTTCAGACCTTTCTGAACAGCTTCAAGCATACTGATGCATTCGACTTTTTTAAATTGTGTCATTTCTTCGAAATCTCTTGTGACTTTTTTGATAACTTTAACACTTCTCTCTGAATCCAGACCTTTAATTTGCAACTTAATCAGGAATGAAGGAACAACACTGGAATATAACTCGATGACAAGTTCATCGAGTCGAAGATTTGGTTGTACACCACTTGTATGTGCCGGATACCATTGTGTCAAATTTTTTCTGAAATTAACTTTAAAAGTACTAAGTAAGATCATGAGATATAGCAATATATGTTTAAACTAACTTATATTTTGGTTGTACACCACTTGTATGTGCCGGATACCATTGTGTCAAATTTTTTCTGAAATTAACTTTAAAAGTACTAAGTAAGATCATGAGATATAGCAATATATGTTTAAACCAACTTATATTTTGGTTGTACACCACTTGTATGTGCCGGATACCATTGTGTCAATTTTTTTCTGAAATTAACTTTAAAAGTACTAAGTAAGATCATGAGATATAGCAATATATGTTTAAACTAACTTATATTTTGGTTGTACACCACTTGTATGTGCCGGATACCATTGTGTCAAATTTTTTCTGAAATTAACTTTAAAAGTACTAAGTAAGATCATTTATTTTTGCATAATATAATGCCAATATGGTTTCTTTTGATTTTATTTCATTTATAAGCAAATCAGATTTACCCAAAAACTCCACTCCATAAGCGTTCATTTGCTAAATTAAAAAGTGACAATGGGCTAGTCTGTCCCTTTCTCTTTTTAAAGTTTATTTTTTAAAAATTTTTTTATTTTTTATTTCATTATGGTGGTGAATCTTTTATTCATGAAAATAATTATTTCTAATTTCTTTTACTCGTTTATGAGGTCTTTGATTATGACTCCATTGATTCCATTCAGGATTTAAACAATGTTTAATTAATCGCGGAATATCTGACATCATCTATATATAGCTTCTTTTATAAAAGATAAAATAAATTATTTTAAAATTAATGTTAATTTTTTTAATGATTTATAAATAAATATATTTTAATGCATCGTCTATATATAGATGTAACAAAAAAAGTCACTAAACCCTTCATATCCTACTACTTATCAATCCTTAATATAGCGGTTTCAAGAATTAACAGGACAAACCAAATGAAACTCAACAGTAGGAAATATTCCTAGAATAAGAACTTTCAAAATATATTTAATATTCATAATGGATAAATAGCAGAACTTTAAAAAAATTGATTGATTTGCTGAATGTACTATACCTTGGCAGAGTATAGAAAGCTTATCATTTGAATAGAAAGATAAAATTAATGAGATGTAGCATAAATAATGGTTTAAGTAAAAACTATTTAAAAAAAAAAGTATTGGGGCTTCCAGGCACTTCGTGCCCTCTAGCCCCGAAGATGTTTTGTCACTTTTCTGTCACTTTTTCAGGTAAAAACATTTTTATTATATATATAAAATGAATTTTACAAAACCACCGTTACCCTTCTTTGGAAATAAGAGTAGATGTAAAGATATTATATTGAGAGAACTTAAGAAACTACCGAATGGTCTAACATTTGTAGATTTGTTCGGTGGAAGTTTCTATATATCCCATTTGTGCCATACAATATTCCCAGACTCAAAGATTATATGCAATGACTTCGACAACTATATGAACCGTCTCAAACATATACCAGACACAAACAAAATATTGAAAGAGTTAAAAGAAAAGATACCTATAGGTAAGATGGAACGTATACCATTAGATAAGAAAAATACTGTCAGAGAGGTTTTGAAAAAAGCAGAGTATATTGACTGGGATAGTATATCTTCTAGACTATTTGTATAGTGGTTCTATAAGAGTTCATGACATTGAAAACTTATGTCAAACGTTTTATCTTAACTATACAAAGGTTTTCAAAGAGAACATAGAAAAATATACTGAGGGTATAGAGTTTGTGAGGTGTCGTTGGACAGAGTTGTATGAAAAATTTAAAGACAAGGAAAATGTTTTCTTTATAGTAGACCCGCCGTTCTATAACACATGGGATTTTCAATACCAAGTAGACTGGACTTTGAGAGACTCTTTAGAAACTTTAGACGTTTTACATAACCATCCATGCTTTTACTTTACATCCGATAAAAGTGGTTTGGAAAGTGTCATGAGATGGTTAGAGGACATACATGACTATGAGTTTAGATACGATAAGATAGAATATGAGAGAGGTCCTATAAACCGGAAAAAGTGTCACAACAAAGAAATTTTATTGGTAAGTAAATGTGGTTTGAAATAGGACTACTTGTTTTAGGTTTTTTCCATTGTGTCATTTACTTATTTGACGTGGCAGAAAGATATAGAGAATATGAAGATGAACCAATGTCTGCAAATGTTCAGCATATGTACTCGTAAGAGATATTTTTATCTAATATTAAATGGACGCACAGAACTTAGCGAATGCACAGCAACCTGGACAACCAAACCCAGAGAATATTCCAAATGAAGTTAGAATACAAACTGCAATGGCAAACTATGGTCAAGTGCCAACAGATGTACAAATGCAAACTGCCATGTCAAATGACGCTGCGTTAGGCTTACCACCATGGTATGCAAATATGAGATGGAAAGAGTTTTATACAAACCTGAAGTGGGATATAAACAACTCTATGCAGATGACGCGAACACAGGAGTTGACCCAGAGTATGTTTTCTACCAGAGGAGAAATAGAATGTATGAGCTCCAGTTAAAAAATGCTATGGAACTCAACAGGAAACGTAAGAGACTAGGCGGACATTAGATTTTTACATATAGTAAAATGGGTTTCTTCAGTAGTATTGGAAACTTCTTTCGAAATGTTGGAAGAGGTATATGGAATGGAATAAAAACCGTAGGAAGAGGAATTTGGAACGGTGTCAAAAATATTGGTAAAAGAGTAGGTCAGTTTGTTGGTATTATACCTAAAGACCCTGAACCAGAAGAACAAGCTCCTGTTATACAACAGCCTGAACGCACCACAGTCAAGTTGGCAACCAAATCCAACACCTCAACCGTATTAAAAATTATATTTTTACCGTTCGATAGTAGTTGTATATGAAACTAAGTTCTAAGTAAAACGCGTGGTATAATGGAACTATTCTCTTTCTTCCATCTGTTGTAAACCATACTTGAAAGTCTGAAATACTTCCACTCGGTGGTTCATATAGCTTTGTAGGTTTTTCGTAAAAGTCATTTGCCAAGCATAAAAAAGAGTTTTGTGCACCAGAAAATGAAGCATGAACTATAATAGCATCTGAGTCGAAAACATTTTCATATGTTCCATTAGGGTTTTCGACTTCATAAAAGTTCGGGTGTACTGGATATTCTGCAGGCTGATTTAACATCCTCAAAATCTATACCATGCCAAGTTGTTATATTTTGTAGAAATATAAACGTCTTCTCCAAGGTCTTCTATTCTATTGATTTTAACAGTTGCATTTTTCCTGTCATATATAATATCGAGATGGTACTCTCCTTCGTCAATGTTGTACTGTTTTGCATATTCGAGATAGATATCGTTTATTTTTTCTTGAAAAGCTTGAAGAGTTGTTTCTAAGTTTACAAGCAAACTAACTTGTAAAAGTTTTCCCTGTTCAAATTTCTCATACGTACGTTTCTCTTTGTTATAGTATCGAATTTCAAAAGCGACCGTAAATGGGAAACCATGTATGGCTTCTGAAATGAACTTCATTCTACGAAAGCCAACAGCTTTTGTGACGGATGGGTCTCTTAACCATCTTAACGGGTAGTCAAAACGATAGCCTTCATGCTTTACGGTCTCTGTCTCAAACTTTTGACCGACATTCGTAAAAAGTTCATCTAATGGTTTAGTTGTAGCAACTCTTGAATTTTCTTTTTCTATTGAAAGCATATTTTATCTATAATAAAAATGTCGAAAGAAACAGCGTCTATGAGAGAAATACAACACAACCGACAACTCATTTTGCAAGCTCTAAATAAGAACACAACAAACTTTTCAAACTATTCTAAGATATCTGAGTCATTGAAAGAAGGAAACTTAAAACTGACATTAAACCCAATGACAGACGAGTTTCTGTTTCAAGACAGTAAGAACCATACTGTCTGTATAAATCCAACAAAAGGAACTTTAAACGAGAAGCCTATAAAAGAACTTCTTTTGAAAGCAGATGTTGACAACAAAGCTGACAAAGAGTATGTCATTGAAAAAGTTCAAGAAGAACATGACAGAGCAGATGCAACATATGCAACAAAAGAACATACTCATCCTGAACTAGCAGACAAAACATATGTTGACAATAAAATGTCAAGTGAAGTGACAAGAGCTGAAAACGAATATTCTAAAAAGACTCATAACATACCATTGCAAATATTACAAACTTACAAGAAACCTTAAACAGGAAAAGTGACGTTGGACATACACATACCATTGCAAATATTACAAACTTACAAGAAACCTTAAACAGGAAAAGTGACGTTGGACATACACATACATCTTCTGAAATAACAGACTTAAACGTTAGCCTTGAAAAGAAGGCAGATAAGAACCATACACACGATTTCTTCGCAACTGTTGGTATAGAAAATATTTGCAGGAACGGTTGAAGAACCTGATGGAACTGGTGGGGATGCATTGTATTGGAAACCTCCTAACTTTCCCAGGTTTAACATCGGATGAAGACATAACAACGATAAAATACACTAGATGTAGAAATGTTTTTGTCATGGAGGATGAAAACAAAGTTAAATTCACTGCTCAAGATTTATATGACAACAAAGCTGACAAAACATATGTTAACGATGAGTTAGATAAGAAAGCTGACAAAACATATGTTAACGATGAGTTAGATAAGAAAGCTGACAAAACAGAGCTTCAAACGTTAAAGACAGAAATACTTCAAACACTATATCCTATAGGTTCTATTTACACGTCAATGAACTCTACCAGACCAGAAGTAGTACTTGGTCTCGGAACTTGGACTCAAATAGTCGACAGGTTTTTGTATTGTGCAAACTCTTCAAAGGAAACAGGTGGAAGTAAAACGATTTCAGGTGAAAACTTACCTGCACACAGTCACTACGTAGATTTAAGTACATCTGAAGCAGGTTGGCATAAGCATAGATTTTGGGATTGGTCAGCAATGAAAAAAGGTAAAGGATATGATGTTAAAGACGACGTTCAGTTTGCTATAAATTGTTTCTGGGGTAGCACACAGGGAGAAGGAAACCATACACATCGCGTTACAGGGTATACGCAAACAACGGGACAGAGTAAAGACTACATGCCACCTTACATGACAGTTTACGCATGGTATAGAAATGCTTAGTCGTCATTTTCAACTTCTTTAGCATATTCGTCAGGAGTTGTCTTATATTTGTTAGGAACTGTCTTTGAAAGTATACCACCTTGAACTTTGACAAGTTTGAAACGAGGTCTGACAATAGTAGTTTTATCTTCTGCTTGCAGTCTGTACATTTTGCCATGTTTGCCTAAAACTTCATAATATTCTCTTGTATACTTTCTTCTATTTTTACGAACACGAATGCGAGTACCTGTCGAGTTCCCATTGTTGTCATAGTCAATAGTATTTTCATATGGGTCGCGTTTAGGTATTTCTATTTTTACTTTGTCACCTTTCTTAAGTTTGAAGCCTGGCATTCTTTCTTGTTTGTCTCTTTTGACTAAACTATTAAATATATAGTCTTTCTCTAAGTCAGGGTTGTTTTTCATTTCTTCGGGGGAGTGGTTTCCCAAACCTTTTTGTTTACGGTTATTGTAAATATTTAAAACTTGTCTCATCTTTGCCATGGAGAAGTGTCTATATTTGTCGTCATATGACATTTCATCTACCTCACCACCTTGTGGTTGATTTAAGTCTCTTAAGATTTTTATACAACTGTCAATGACACCAAGAGCAGAATGGTTTTGGTCGACAATGAAATATTGGTTTACATTTTTTGAACGCAGATAGTTTTTAATATCGTCTGATTTGAAAGAACTTTCATAGTCAGATGTCAGTTTTGTTGGATGGTATTTGTCAACGAATATTGTCAAAGCAGTTTTCACATCTAAAATATTTTTGGACCATAATGGTATGGCTTCACAGTATCTTGTGTTTTGACCGACAAATATTAGCCAGTATGGTGGTCCATCTTCTCTATACCTCGGAATGTTTTCCAAGATATCCATAAACCAAGCATTTGGTGTTGAACTAAAGATTTTTACCATGAGTGCTTTCTTTGTCGCTTTAGAAACATACGGGTCCTTGTTTGGATTCGTCATTTTTATCCTATAAGAAATGGGTTTATTTGGCGCATTAGCAGGAGTCGCATCTAGATTTTTGCCCGCAGTGGGAACAATAGCCAGAGGTGCATTTGGAATTGGAAGGAAGATTTTGAGTACATTAGGTATACTGAAAGAGAAAGCACAACCTATTATACAAACCGTACAGAAAGGTTGGGAGGTAGCACGAGATGCAGCAAATCTTATTCCAAATCCTGAAACAAGAGGAAAAGTTCAAGGATGGATGGACAATGTAGGAAGACAAGCAGGAAACTACTATAACAAAGCAAATGACTACTATAACCAAGCAGGGCACTACATGGACCAAGGTGAAAGATTCTTTAACAGAGGATATAACCATGCACAACAGTGGGTAAACAACAACCAACCTCAACCTCAAACTGGGGAATGTAAAATTTTTTACTGAGATGAAATGAACAATACAGCATTGAGACAAATGGGCTCAAGATGGATTTGTCGGCTTCCAGCAGTTACACAACCACGTGTTTGTCAAGTTCTTCCTATACCTCAGAAGTTTTAGACCGACTTAAAAAACCTAAACAACCAGTTGAAAACAAACCAAACTAAAATTTTTTACTGAGATGAAATGACCGAAGAAGTTGAAACGGTAGATTTGACACCACAAACAAAAAGTTCAGAACCATTGTCAAAACCTGTCAAAGAACTTACAGATGAAGAGAAAAATTCAATAATAGAAAGTGTGAGGTCTGGAAATACAAACCCTAACTACAAAGTCACTTTTCATAAAAATGGAACGGCAAGTATCTCAAAAAAGAAACAGACTCTCACAAATAAAATATTGAAGTCTGAAGGAGCTTTCGAGACAATAGATGGAAAAGTTTACTTCACTGACCAACAGTTCATTATAGAACATCTCATTGACTTAGAGTCGAAATATTCTAAACTTTACAACAAACACAAAAAGTTGAAAGGAAAACAAAAACAAATGGCATATGACATTTATGAAGATGTTGACGACACAACCATACCAGCAAGTGAGGTAAAGTCAAAGGAACCGAAAAGTGACGAAAAACAGATAGAAGAAGGGGAGCCAAAAACTGAAGAAAAACCAAAACCAAAGTTTAGTATTGAAACTAAACCAAGTCAACCTTCATTAGCTGGTATGGGTTGGCATCAAAGACTTATGGCAGCGGGCGGTTATGTAAAGTAAAGGAAAAAACATTTTTTTATTTTTATAAAAATGCCCCCGTATAGAATGGATAGAAAATCTGCTAGAATAAAAGCAGAGTTAGAAAGATATGGTTGGAGAGTTTCAAAGAAGTTTAAATATAGGAAGGGAAGACCCATAAAAGTCTATGACAAACTGTCTGGTCTTCGCTACGAAATGGACCTAGAAACAGCACGCGCAAATTATCCAAACAGATTAGAGAGGTTAGAAGAAGAACGTCTTATGGACATGCCTTTCGATGTTAGTGAACCTCAAGTTGAAGGACACGACGGCTTTGCCAGATTCTACTGGAAACATGACGAACAATTGCATCCTTTGAGAAGGAAAAAAGGAAAAGGTGAAGACGCACATGCTCCCATGGAAAGAACAAGATATGCATATGAAAAGTATCGTGAAGTTAGAAGTAAAATTACATCTGGTCGAACCTTTACAGTAAACTTTGACGATGGAAAGAACAAAGAAGGCTTCATGGGTGTACTTGCTGCCATACAAGACGGAAATAAGAAAGGATACAATCTCAGACTAACCGTAACAGATTTGGATGGTCACATTTACTATGCACATGGCAATGTCACAACAGCCGCACAACTTCTTGACGCTTTCAAGACTACAAAGAGAGAACAAATGGTTGACTCCGACTCAGACATTTTGAATGCAATTGAAGGAATTGCAAGTGTCAAGTTCGAATGGTACCAACCTAACCCTCAAGCAGTCAGACAACATGCTGGATACTTCCCGTTCAGAAATAAGTCTGACATTGACTTAACAAGGTATGGAATTTACAATTCAATTGAAAAAATTGTCAATGAACCTTGTATTCTTACATGTCTCAGGAACTCTGGTCTTGTTACAGATGAGAAGATGAAGTATCTTGAGTCATGTGTGAAAACAAGGTACATTCTTAGAAGTCAATTGACAAAAATTGCACCGTTGGCAAATGTGAATATCCGAGTCAACATTCCGACTGAGAAAGGTTCTTCGCACGATGACTATGTAGTTGACTTCAAATTGCCATGGTTGAAGATTGTACTTGTCCACAACCACTTCATGTTGAACGAAAGTCTTACACACCCATTGTTCGGAAAAGGCAAATGCAACATTGTCAGAGCTGTTAACATTCTTTTCGAGAAAGGTTTGTTGGAACCAATTCCAGATGACAAGCTGACAGAAACTTTTGTACCAAAAGACGAAACAAATTTTTCATTGTTGGTAAGACCAAAAGTCGTTCCAGACAAAGTTCTAGCACAAAAGAAGTACACAGCTCCAAAAGGAGTTGGATTGTTCGGATACCAACCTGAACCAGAAGAACTTCCAATGAGGTTGCAAGAACTTCAAGATGCTATAAACAAACTTCCATTGAGACATCCAATCGACGTCAAATTGTATTGGAGAGCATCAGAGTTAGGTCAGAAAATTTTATATGAAACAGGTTGCTTTGACGATGTTTATGAGATAACAGGCGAGGTTTCTCAAAAGATAAGAGACTCACTTGAATTTCCACGAACCGGGCCGATTGGTTGCGACAAGTTCGACTCATACGAAAAAATATACTATGTCGACCTTAACGCTGCGTACATGAGGTTCGTCCAATATATCCCGACTGGAATTCCAAACGAAGATGGTGAATTCCCGGGAAGGAACTATACAGTTGGAAAGGTCATACAACAAATGTATGATATTAGGAAAGCTTCAAACCCCAAACTTGCAATGACAATCAAATTGCTTATGAATTCGACATGGGGATATTCCATTAAAAAACCTCAAAAGATGAAGAGTAAACACTATGAGAAGGTCGACAACTTTGTTGAAAGGTTTTCTCCTTTTGTTTTGAAATACGAGTTCACCGAAGGTCAAAGTGGCTCAGTAACCACAGTAAAACCTATTGTCGAACATTGGTCTTATCCTCAGTTCGCAAAGGCAGTCCTTGACAACTACAACAAATTCTTCTCCGAGGTCAAATCCAAAGTGAAGGTATACTATGAGAACATTGACGCACTCATGACGAACGAGGAAGGATACAACAAACTCATTGAAATGGGTTTAGTCGGTGAGAAGATGGGCCTTTTTAAGCTAGATAAGGTATTTTCCGAAGTTCATGTAATATCGAAAAGGAAGTACTGGGGTGTTAAAGAAGATGGTGAAATAGTTAAACATTGCATGAAATAAAACGTTGCATGAAATAAAACATTGCATGAAATAAAATATTTTTTTCAAAAAAATATTTTTTTTATTTTATTTGAAATGTACGCTGAGTTTGTTGGAGAAGACCGTTGGGAAACTTGTTTGTTAGATGAGAAATATGAAATTCACTGTTGTGAGTCATTTGAAGTCAGAAACAAAAAGACAAAAAGAGTTTTAAGCGAATGGGAGCGAAATGACGGATATGCTATTATGAATATGGGTGGAAAACACTATCTTAAACATGTTGTCATTGCAACTCATTTTATACTGAATCCTAACAATTTACCTTTTGTAGACCATATAAACCATATAAGAAATGACAATAGACTTGAAAACTTGCGTTGGGTCACTTGTTCTGAAAACAGTAAGAACAAAAGCAAAATTGGAGATATTGTATTCGAATTTGTCGACGAACTAGAAGATGAAACAATTGAAATTACAGACTATGGTAAGCATACGTTTGAGTTTTACTACTATAGCGAAGAACAAGACTCTTTCTACTTTTATACCGGCGTAAACTATAGGAAATTACAAGTATATTTTACTAAGGCAGGCCATGCTCATGTAAACGCTAGAGATACAGATGGAAAATGCGTTCGAATACTTCTTAACAAATTCAAGAAGCTATATGGCATACCATTTTAAAACATTTT